ATTACAGTCACTCTGATCTTCATGTAGGCTTCTGGGCTGTGATTCAGAAAATGCTTTTTTGGGGGGGTGTAATCTATAATTTGATGACACCATTTGAAAATGTGGGGGAAACAGAACATTTATGAATTAAAAATGTGGAGATAAGTAAACTTTTAGTTACATAAATATTGTTGTGTAAAATGTTTTGTCATTCTACAGCTTTCCCCTTTTAAAAATATATAGTTGATGTATCTTATGGTCTTTTTGTATCACTTTGTTCCTCTAATGGAAACAGAGACTACGTTTATCCAGAAGCTACCTCAACTTGTGGGTTGAAGAGGTCACAGGGTCACATATTTAATAAGCCTCATTTGGACAGCTCAGTGTGGAGTGTTTATTTCTTGCCCTCAAGACAATAGCTGAAACCACACATTTGGTTAAAACTGTATATATAGTGGATTAATTTATTCTGACTGACTCCAGTGTTGTCATATGACTACATGCATGGAGCTGTGGGAAAACACAATCCAAGCTTTTTCTAAAAAACACACAAAAACAGTAAGTCATGTAGGAACATTGTGTACATATAGTGTTGACACGCACAAATCCTCAGGGTGATGTTAAACTCCTGATGAACTTGTAGCAAAAACAAACACAGTTTCTTTTAAAAGTTCATAGCACTTGAGACACCCTGGTGACAGGGATTTTACCTTGGGTGTAGCTTGATCAAAACACACTCCTACCTGTACGTTCCAACACTGGTGAGGAAGCTGCGATGATAGCTCCACTTCCCTTTGTGATGAGACCATTTGTTAAAGTGACAGAGGCGGCCTGAGCACTGCAGTCCTGGGATATGTGTGTGTGATGATACCACTGCATGTTACTTTGGTGATACAATGATGGAAGAGGCAGTGTGTGCTGCGGTTCCACAGAGAGCACAGGCATTACAAAGCCAGCAACTAAAATCCATCTATCTTTGTGCACGTGTGTGTGTGGCGGAGACAGTATTGTGACAGCTTAGTGCTCCCTGCAGTGTACATGTGTACATATTAGACCCTCTTTGTGTCAGTATCGCCTCAATTTGTGTGTGCGGTAGGGAAAAGCCTTAATTTTCTCACAATCTACTACTGCGGACAGATAAACATGGTTGCAGCAAAGATAATTAACACATGACATCCAGGTTCTTTATCAGTAAACTTTGATCCCAGGAAGTGATTTTGGGAGGATGACATTCTCACAGCAGGTCACAGGGGCGGCTGAATGGAGCAGGATGAGTTTGCAACATGGCCTCAAGCCATGCAGAGCAGCTGCACTCAGCTGGAAGCCAGTTTACCAGGAACCAAGATGGAAGAGAGAGAGGAGATGGGAAGGGTGGGATATGGGCCACTTTCCTGCTATCCCAAAATAAATACAAAAATTAAGGGTATCCATCAGCTCTATTCATGTTGCTTTAGAAAATACCGAGTGTGACATGACTTAGAAATTGTGAAATTCTTTCAACTTTTGGGTGGAAGTTACTGTTCATTGTAATGTCCTCCTGTCTAAAAGAAAACAGAACAAATGAAGGCACAGACTGAAATTCAACTTCAAACTATGGACCCACAGTCACTGTGAAGGTAATGGTTGACTCACATTTTAGTTTGCACGTGTGAAAAGCCCTTACTAGATGTCGTGGCCCATCGGTTCTTAACTCAAATACGATTCAAGTAAAAAAAGAAACAGCATCTCGGAACTGTCAGTGACAGTCCTGAGATGATCAAGCCAACATAGAAACAGTAAAAAGTCTGGAAAAGGCAGAGCTTTATTTTTTGATGATTGCATATTACCCCTGTTCAAAATGGGAAATGAATTTTACACATCATGACTTTGTTTTCTCATTATCATTACTCTCCAAGTGGAACCCTGCTTTGAGTATGTGTAGCAGCTTCAGGGGAGCACATTTCAGCAGCACGCTGCCAACAAGATGATGAATGGTGCTGCTTAATCTTCTCCTGCATTATTACATTATCCTATGCGACTTTTTGAAAAGTTCTTATCTACTTGGACAGAGCTGCCACATGCATGACACTACCAGCCCACCTGCCTTCTACCCTCTTATTATCTTTCACCTCTCTCCCCCCCTCATTTTCATCTTCCCTCCATCTTTCCCATCACTTCAGCAGTGTCAGTACCATGGAGGTTTTCTAGATAATAAACAAGACCAAATTGGTGGCATTGTCAAGCATACGATGTTCATTGTTTCCTGAATTAGTGTGGGCAGTATCCTGTTATCCTCATGCACATCTGCCTAGAACATCTGGAAGGTGTCAGCCTTTCAGCATTGAGCAGAGCGACCATCACTCTTTCTCGGCTGACACATCTCATCTTTATAAAAGCCCATCGCCGCCACTAAGAGGCAAAGAATAACCTGGAAGGCTGGCCACTGTAGCAGCTCCAACAGTATTCTGTTGCGGTAGGGCTTTCTGTTGCTGTCGTGCCAAAGAACACTTCGACATGCCGGGGAACGAACTACTGACCGTCTGATTGTTACACACCAATTTACCAGTTGAGCCTTAGCCACACAGACATATTTCATTACAATTGGAAAGAGTATGCTTCGGAGGACAATAATCATTTTTATAGTATTTCGTATATTTTGGGCCAAATAAAAGCTACACTTGGAACTAAAGAACTGAGAACACTACGGGTGGTATAAAAAACTACAGTGGGAAACAACCTACATTTGCGTTTTAACAGTAATAAATTATGCATGCTCACATTTTACTTACAGTATACCACCCTGAACACGCCTGATCTCTTAAATGGGTGCGTACGTCTACCAATCACATAAACATTTGATTCTTGTGGGAATGTGTACAATATAAAAGTGTAAGTCGCTTTTGATAAAATCTTCTGCAACAAAAGTTAAGGCTGTCTATAAAACAACAACAATAGGGTGCCTTTGTTTCATTTAACCCTTGGGTGGTGTTCATATTTTTGTTATTCAGCCAGTGTTCGTGGGTCTGGTGGACCCGCTGCCTTTTTGGGCTTCAATTCAACACAATCAAACTATTTTATGTTAAAATACTCAACAGATGTTTACTTCATCTCAATTACAAGCAATATAAACAACATATGGTTAATATTTGCCCTTTTACATTTGTTAGATCACATTCATGAATTAAAGTGCTACTTGTTTTTTTGCCCGCTGACCGGCTGGTCCTGTGGCTCGTCTTTTCTTTGTAACTAGCTGATGCTCAATCTCATCCTCTTCTTCAAAGTCACTGTCAGACTCAGAATTCTCAGAAATGTGATCCTCACATAAAACCTCTTCCTCTTCCTCTACATCATCATCAAATGGTTCTCTCTCATCCAAAATCATTTGCAAAGCCCTCTGAGCAGAGAATCTTTTGGCCATCTTGATCAGTTGTGATAAGGACCCAAACTGGAGGAGCTTTATTTATTGTGTCTTGCCCCAAATTGCCCCAGCTGGTATAGAATGTGAAAAAAATAAAGATTGGCTCCCGCAAAACATAACGCAGGAATGTGAGAGCAGACAGGTGTCCGTGCTAGAATTTATCAACAATGCAACGTATATATATATATATAATGTAATATATATTCTTCACAGAAAATGAGCCAAGGCCATTGAGTGTGAGTTTGAAAAAATAATTGAACATTCCTTTTTCTTTAGCTAAATAATGAAAACGGGTTCCACAGACCCGAACACCATACAAGGGTTAAAAGGAAAATGAACAACAAAACAAACCACTGGATGCAGTTTTCAAACAATAACTCCACGATCAGGTTTGTACAATAAAGAAGTTTCTCTGTGGAAGTCCTGGCCTGACAATATTTATTTTCTCTTCAATATATATTATATTATTACACAATATAACATAATTCAACATTGGAAAATGCAAATTGACTGTTTAATGATTTTTAATTTAATTTGTAATTAAACACAATTACCATTTTCCACGGTCATATTTAAAGGAGCAGGATTCTTTCAGAAACCCTTTGGTAAAATCAAGGTTATAACATCTATCTGAAATGCACCAATCAGAGATGGTTTGAAATGTAGGTGAAAATGTACTGTAGTCTAGATGCTGTACGAAGATGACCACCCTGTCATTTACTGTAAGCAAAACATTGTAGCTAAATATAATACATTTGTTTATACTGTATACCTAACCTTTATGTTCTTTAATCTACAATTTTATTTTCAACAGCTATCTATGTTTTACTTGAAAATTAAGTTGATGTATATTTATAGTATTTTGTGAACTAATTGCTCAATTTGATGAAATTTGTTTAGATAATGCTTTTCTAATCTTTACCATCAATATGTCTTTATATTCTTACTGTGTGGACGTTGATGGTGAAGATTGTTCTGGCTGTGAATGTCCTTTCTATGGACTCCTTTCTCTCTGTTCATGTGGATTGCCCTGTGAACTCAGTGATTTGAAACACATGTCCTATACACTATATGTCAGTCAGATGATTGCTGACTTTTATCCTGAAGAAGGCAAGATGTGCCAAAAGACTATATGGAATGTAAAATAAAAAAGATCTAGGTTATGAGTGTTTCACTTCCACTTGTGATCTGTTAAACATATGGAAATACTGTTGAAGTGAAAGAAAAGTATGTGTTGGTCTGCCACATAATCACATTACAGAATAAAAACACAGGAGCAGGTCTATTGTCATCCATTTTTTGGAAAATATTTTGCGAATATTTATTATAAAAATATAAATGTTTCCACTACAAATCATTTTACATTAGTAGACAAGGCCATCTACATTTGCACACGTAAACTCTCACACAGACACACGGGTCAGTCTTGAGACAGAGAATGGGGGGGGGGGGGGGGGGGGGGAGCTGGATATAGGGTGCATAACAGTATTGCTCTTTCAGATGTCCCAGGTTTATAAAGTAAGTCAAAAATCTAAACAGAGAAAGCACTGACACATAATTTACTGTATGCTACAAAACCCATCAACATTGCGCTGTATAATGTTAACAAATAAATAATAATGTAATCATGATCGCCTTTTATTGTAGAAAAAAAAAACAAGGCAGACAAATAAAATCCAAAATAACATAACATATAATACAGATGATTTTGTCTCTTTTTTAATTAAAAATGTTGCACCATTTTTATTTATTCTTTTATACATACAAACATTTGTACAAAGAGGGATGGCCATGTACATGTAGAGGGGTCTGTAGCGCTAGTTGCTATCCTTACGATGGTTTACATTATGTACATGCTAATTAGAACACATAGCAGCAACAGCAGCATCCACAGGTAGCCCGGGCAACGGAGGACGGCCCGACGCTCTGAACAGGGATGGGTTTCCCAAAAGCACCAGAATCACTCCTTTCCATTAGTTAAGCTTAGTCTCCATCCAAGGCAATACCATATCCATTACAAGTGCTCAAATATTGTTTACTAAGTGCTTGGAAGAAGCGTAAAGATAGCACCCCTTATGGTTAAGTATGACCCATCCAACAGTACCAACGTTTCAGTAAAAATACTGGATTTGGTTGAGGGATACAATCGGTGATATCAAAGCAGAGGACTATCATCTTGAAGTCTGTTCATCTTTGTTCAAAGATCATCTACTGTAAACTCTAAGGTGCCTTTAGGAAATCCCATCCTGGACATAATGTACTATCTCAGAAAGCAATCATTTATTGGAAGTGTTGCATCTCAGACAGGGCATTTTCAAACCTTGATAGTTTAGGGCAATGATTGGAAAACCCCATGCCCCGATAAGAACACAGAAAAGAACATCAACTCAACTTTCGTTGAAAACAAATTGAAACTGGAGCTTTTTGCTTAGAGATCCCACCATGATCCCACCCGACTAGAGGAGGCACTCTACTATTTGCATTAAACATTGCAGGATTCATGGATTCATTTAACAGCTAATTTAGACCCTGCGTGGCTTGTTAGTAAACTTCAACTAAAGCAAGACTACAACCCACCTCAGATCAGATCTCAACTTTTTGAACTAGGCGCAAAACTAATCCCACTCCTTTTAAAATTGATACCTGATGCTGTGTGGGGTTGATGATGCTAATCTGTTTTACCTGAAGAAGAACCTCAAGCACTTGAAACTGGCTTCAAGTTTCCGACACTTCCGCAACCCAACAAGAACGTGGCCTGCATGACACGTCATCTCATAAAAGTTCTATCTTTTCTCTTATAAATCTCTCTTACTGTTTCCCCTTTTCTGCCTTTCTTATCCCTGTCACTGCTCCATCCCCTCTGTCTGTTTCCCCTTAGCGAAAAGAGAAGGTATAAAGTATACATCCTGAGATTTCACACAAAGGGCATTGGGTCGAGGGAACGGCACTATAACTGTACAATATCTGTTCATAAGCACATAGAACATAGATGTCATGATAAAGAAAAATCTGAGTGAAGTGTGTTATGGCTCCTGTACCTTCAAAGCACAGCGTTCATTACATTGTGACAGACTCAAGGCTTCCATATATTGAGAATATTTAACTGATTATCATACTTATTGCTTTAATGTGACAGGTCTACTGAATGCAAATGCTATAGGTTAGAGCTACAGAGTAAAATGGCTCGGTTTAGGCGTGTCCATAACCAGCGCCGTTCTCTCATGGATAGAGACAGTAAATGTAGGTCGTTGAAACACAATCTCACGCCTCAGACCTCATTTGTCCAGGAAGGGTCCAAATCCGGGTGAGGGGCTGCTGTCTGCCATGCTCTCCTATACGAGGCGTTTCAGCCGTTTCACCGCCGTGTTTCCACAGGCTTCTTGCTCAGGCGAGGTGGGAGGAGACTAAGAGCATGCCCGTCCCCTTTTGAGCTGTAAAGGGAAGGCTAAGGTATCGAGATTAGCCAATAATGGAGAGCTCCGTCTTTATGTTAGTCCAATCCCAGTTTATATCTCTGGGCAGGTCCTCCTGACCTCCATGGCTTTCCTCTGCTTTCTCTACCCCCATTTAGTCTGTAAGGCATCTCAACTTGGGCATGGAGGGATGGAGGGTCGAAAGTCTGCATTTAACTCATTTCCCGTTTCTCTGACTTGATAATCGTCTTTCAACGAAACAGCAAAGCCCTCATAAGAATCATGTTTTCCCTCCATTTCCGTATGTCTCCACGTATGTGCCACTTTGTTCAATGTTGATTAGCAACCACACCGGCAGACAGGTCTCTGGTGTTTGTACTCGCTGGGTTCATTTCTTAAACAGGTACCGGGCCATTCTTCGAATCAAGGGCTTTGAGGCTGCTCACGATCTTCTTCTGTGGTCCTACGATAGTCACTCCAACTTTTTTCAGATCCCTAGTTTGTGAAGGGGGGGGGGGGGGGGGGTGGGGGAGACAGAAATGGGGAGGGAGGAACACCAGACACAATCAGGGTGGGAGATGTGACAGAGGGGAAGAAGGAAAAAAAAACAAGATGGAAAGTGTGCATTAGTAATGGAGGATGTCACACCCCATGTGACGTTTAATGACATGCTCCCAGTGCTGCTCCCTTCACTTTCCCATGAATCCGTCATTCACAAAGGACTGCATTTCCCAGAAGGCCACTGGGCTGCCAAATCTCTGAAGGGGGGGGTCTAGGGGTTGAGGGGGTGTTGCCTCCACTTTCTATTACTAACAAAGAGGGAGGTGGGCCTATGGGGCTACACTGACAGCTGCCATTATGACCCTGTCAGTGGAGGAAATGGCATGGGAGGGACATGACGGCATACAATATGTAGTTTCCTGTATGGTACTGAACTGTATATTTTTGACAGAGTTGGGATAAGTGTGTGGGGAGGAGCAGCACTGGTGCATGTGCAGGATATTATACTCTGATACATTTGTTAACTTGTTAGATCATCTAAAAAGATTAGTTTCATGCATTCGAGTGTGAGAAAAGACCATTTGTATAGGACATTAGAGCTGGTGTCAGTTTGATGTGTTATATGTCAAAGGCACGTACCACACACAATTATTATTGAGCTCAATTAGTATTTCAGACCCATAGTAACAATCTCTTAACGCACAGTAAATGCAGAGCGCTGTACATTGAACATTGTTGATATACAGAAAAAGTCACAGCACACATTACCACTCTAGTCTTTTCATCATCTTGGAGTTAACACAATAGCATCATATTAGTAAAGCAGAGGAGTTGCAGTCACACACTCGCAGCCATTAACACATGTGTGTGTTATTCAAAAATGGTCACAATAAAGGTTGTATTATTCAGATGCAAGCAGTGATTTTAGTTGTCCAACGCATCATAATTAGCAGAAACATCTTGATCAGCCAGAACTTTGCTTCACTCTGCACAACAATGTAAAGGGATAGTTCAATCACATTAACTAATGATATAAATATAAACGTCATGTGTTTTAATGAAGTTGACGGAAAACAAAGTGTTTGCCTTTTTTTGCAGTTACAAACAATGCTTTTATGTTGTTACATTTTGTAGAATGCTGAGTCTATTTTCTTTGTATTACATTTAACAGCTGAATGGAAAAACTGCTATTAAGTCAACATTTAACTAACTATCCCTTTCAAAGTCAGACAGGTGAATCTATTCAGTGATACTGGACGTAGGTTACTGCTCCCAGGTGGGGCGTGAGTCTTTCATCCTCCACCCACCATCCAGAGCCTGAGGAGGCGGAGAGGAGCTGGGCGTTAGAGAGTGGTGATCCCCATGGACGGCTCCCATTCTGGGCAAGTGGCCGGTGTGACGTGGACCTCCGTCAGGACCACTCTACTGAGAGACAGCCAGGCCCAGCAACATTAACACATGGAACTGCATATCATAAATAGGTGCTTTCTCTAGATTAGATCTGATTTTGGGTGCGATAAATCAGGATAAATCAGACATCTATGTCGCAGTCAGGAAAGGAAGTGAAAACTGATTCCAGTCTTTTTGTCACCAGTTAAACATTCAGCAAACATATTTAATTTAAGATAAAAACTACCAAATCAACAAGAACAAAAGCGACATTTTGCATTTTTTAAGCCAACGTGCCCGTCTATAACATTGTGTGTAGACGAAAGGTTTTCTCTTCTAAATCATTCTTTTGGTTTTATGTCTGGAATACCAATGTCTCACCTCAAGACAAGGCAATGATGAAAAAAGAATACATTGAACCAGTTCAACATGAAACACATGTGGTATGATATAAATCAAACATTTGGAAGCCAAAGAAACAGACACACATCACATGAGAAAGATTAACAGTTAAAAGTGTCTTTCCACAGCGTGTCATCGTGTTAACACAGAAATCCCTATCCTCCCCGAGTCTAAAGAGGAGGGTATTCTTTGTTCACTGTAGGTATAAGTGAATTCTGATGTTATTATATATATATTATTAACGAAACCAACAGAATGTAACCCCTGCATCACTTTATACTGAAAACATGTTGCCCTTTAGTTTAGAACATCTAGTGTACACAGTTAAAATAAGCTTTTATTTTATTATACATTTATTAACACAGGATTTGTATTGCTGAAACAAAGAGAATGCTGGGAAATAGTGGAGAGTACATTTACTCAACTACTGTACTTACCATTTTTTTTTTTTAAGCATTTCGTCTTGAGTACTTCTATTTTACGTTACAAAATACTTCGACTCCACTATATTCAAGAGACTTGTACTTTTTACTCCTTAACATTTATTTGACAACCTCAGTTATACCTAAGTTACACTGCAGGTTGGTATTATATATAAAATGTATACATGAACTACTACTGATATACTTTTATGATATTTAGTATATAAGGTAATTAAAGTTAGCTCCACCTTTACCAGCTGATAAAATAATTTACACATGAATAGATCATACATTAAATCCAGTAATATAATATATATTATTCTGTAAAAGGCCATTCGGAGTACTTTTAGTTTGGGTACTTTACATATATTTCAATAAAAATACTTGTGTAGTTTTATTAAGTGACACTTTGAATGCAGGCCCTTAACTTGTAATAAAGTATTTCTAGACTGTTGTATTACTACTTTTAATTCTTGTGTGTAGACTACTTTACTCACTTTAGATTGCTGCCCATTGTCTGGGAGTTTGGGTTAAGTTCATCTCTTTCTCAATCAAATACCTGATATGAACTTTTCATGCACTCTCAGTAGATGAAGACAATCATCTAAATGATGCTGTATTTCCTAATCAATGTATTCCATCTCGTCTAAAAAAAAAAGGTATTCCTCTATTACCACAGAAGATGAGTCAGCACTCTGCAGCCCAGTATGATTACTGTTCCCTCAGAGGTCAGAGCGTTGCCAAGCCTGGTGCTGAATATCAAGGACTAGATTAAGACTGTACAGATCAATAGAGCAATCTATACGGAGCAATGCATAGTCTCAGCCAAGGCTGCCAGACGTGAAGCTGCGCTCGCCTTGAGTGCCTTAGCCCAGCCTTCAGTGGATTAATACTGCAGTGATCCAATTGAGCATCTAGCTACAGAATAAAATGGACCAATATGATTTCTTTAGTGAGGTTACTACAGAGCGGGTTATCTGAGATTAATGGTATATTGTCAATACCCAGTGTCTGTAGCGTAAACTCTTTTGTCTTGTAATATGTTAAACCTTTTATCAATTACACATATTCATTGGCGAGAAGGCATGAGAAATGTCAATGTATCTTTTGTATGACACCCCTGAGATAATGGAAAGGAGCTAAGAGAAAATTATACAAAAAATAATAAAAGAGAAAATCAATACAGAAACTAATTTTCATAAAAAAATGTCTCTCTTTAAAGAACTGGTGTGTGTGGTCTAAAGCATCCCTTCAGACCTGGCTAATAGCAGCATTACAATATTTGTAGAAAATGAAGTTCTGATACGTTTACAAGACATTGCATTTCATATTTGCCAACTTTGTAAGTGATGACATTAACTCCCAAATTAATCGTTATTGGGCACCAATAAGACACTACTTATTTTTACATGATCAAGCCTGTCAGGGCTAATGACTATCTGGTTTGGTTATTGACACGGGTTACACCTTTTTGCTGCCATCACCATAGTGAATTGCTGCTTTGATAACAAGGATAATAAATGAACGATTATTAATCTGGTCATATTCCACATGAATTAAACCAGATGCTGACCAATGGTGGGACAGACAGAGAAAGGAAAAGGAGAATACTTTATTTTCTCAGATAGATGCACTCTAACCTAAAAGTCTAAAGGTTGCTTGTTAACCAGAATAACATTCAGTATTTTTTCACTGTGCATGAGGTTTATAATTCCTTTCCGTATCTGGATTGTGGCCCGAACATAATCCACTATCTCAGAACCATTTGTCAGGTGAGGATCCTGCCAGCAGCGTCAGTTCTATAATCTCTGTCTGTGGTATACCTCTCCTTTATCCAGAGGCATCGATTTACTAAAGCCGCTGCGGCGACAAATCCCCTCTGAGATCATTCTCCACGTGAAGTTACTCATAGCACAATCATGAACTTGCATATTATTTGTATACAAAACATAGTCCAAATGTGTTTTGGAGGATTAATAATGGCTGGATTACATTCATATCCATACATACATTTTCATACTCAGTCAGTGCTTCCTTCAAACCAAAAACAATAAACACATTTTAATGTTGAAAGAAAAGTTAATATACGTATAGTATAAATATCTATATTCAGTATCTGTAACACCATGTATTTTAAAATATATCGCTGGGATAACATTTACGAAAACATTTTTTAAGAAGATGTGGCGACATGGATTGAGAACTGACCCTACTGTCGTCTTACTGATTGGTCAGTTTGACACAGGTCAACATACTCAACATACTTACTTCCTACAGTGTGTGCTATCCAAATCAGATGTATGTAGAATTGGCTAGTGCATGATCTTTTCTCTGCATTTGAATGCGCCGCAGTTAAGAGAGCATCATGCATACCTACTTGACAGGTTCTTCTCTTTTAAAAGGCCTCTCTCTCTCTCCCCTTTATCTTCTCAAATCTCCTCTCTCACTCCCTCCCTCAATAGTTTCTCTCTTATCCTCCTTATGGAATTCCTCTCTTTCTTTTTCCGTGTCTACTTATCTCTCTCTCTTTTCACGCTCTCACCTTCTCCCTCTGTGGTCATACTTGCAACATCATGAGCATGGCTAAAGGCCTGTCATAATGAATTACCATGTCTCATCTGGACACCTTTAGTAAGGGCTCTTTAGCTTTCTTTACTTTGTGAGAGTGTGTGTGTGTTTTTCACCAAAAGCCCCTCAAATTCCTGGGCCCTGCCACGGGTACTGGGAGCCTGTAAACACTGCTGACATGAATAGGCAGAGTAGCTTGGTGTGTGTGTGTGTGTGTGTGTGTGTGTGTGTGTGTGTGTGTGTGTGTGTGTGTGTGGTGTGTGTGTGTGTGTGTGTGTGTGTGTGTGTGTGTGTGTGTGTGTGTGTGTGTGTGTGTGGGTGTGTGTGTGTGGGTGTGTGTGTGTGTGTGGGTGTGTGTGTGTGTGGTTGTCTTACTCTGTGGAGGTCTTGGCCAGGGTGTCACAGGAGCTGTAGCTGACCCCAGAGAAGGCCTCTTTGCAGGGCAGAGTCCTCATTCCATCCATCCAGTCCCCCAGCGTCCCCATGGAGGGGACCTCTGAACTGCTCCTGTCCAGCAACAGGTTGGCCGGCCTGAGGAGACACGGGAGGAACATAACAACATTAATGAAGACTGAATACACACGTTTTTTCCTTGGGTAATGACCTGTAAACGACTCAGATACATATAATTAAGTTTATGCATTTCCAGGACCACAAAGGCCTCACCCACACCATCAGTTGTTGTGGTAGGGATGTATTATGATGTCATTGGCATATAGCTCTCATCATGTCACTCCCAATGTACTGGCATACATGGTTAACATAGAAAGGTTCTCACTCATTTGTCACGCTATCTAAATGTCCAAATTCCACAAATGCCCTGCAGGATGTATCTGATCATACCGTTCATGCATACTGTCTTTTATAAATAAGGATGTCGTCACAGAAAACACGTTGGTTAGGATTAGGAGGAAATCATGGTTTGGGTTACATTTAAATGGTAATGGAAAAAACGCAGGAGACGTGACAAATAATTTAATTTTGGTTTCAGACAGGACATGGAGAGCTATCTCCTGAATGAAAGTCTGGTGTTTCAGCTACTACTCAAACACATCGATTTCTACACCGTGCAGACTTTGTGGCTCTTTCTACTTCCTGGTTCACAATTTTAAGAAATGCATATGAATTGATTTTGTGGGATATAAATGAATTACAGAGCATTATTTTTCGTAGGTAACGCTATGACCAGTGTTGAGAACAGCCTGTCCTGATTATATAGCATTGCTTATTCATAACAAAAAGTTTTAGAACAGGTTATATACACAATTTGACATGCATATTTACTATTATATACTCTCCGCGCTTGCATTCCTATACCGAACTAAACGTAAGCCAGGCCTCTTGATCTGATTGAGCGGCACTCATCAGGGAGCCACACACACACACACACACACACACACACACACACACACACACACACACACACACACACACACACACACACACACACACACACACACACACACACACACACACACACACACACACACACACACACACACACACACACACACACACCATATGTGTCTGTTGCATACAGTAAACCTGCACAGAGCCTTTGGGCTTTAAATACAGAGGGGAAATCAGGCCGTTACACAAAATATTTCCATAATGTATTTAACATATTCAAGAACAAGATTACTAACAAAAGCGGCATCAGTTTTCTGTCTAATGTCATTACCGGTTCCTGCTGTACATGTACCATGCTGCAAAACACAACATTAGATTTGATTAGATTTGATGGTTTGAATTGGATCAAATCAAATTAAATGCACCGCGTTGGGCTTTAGAGCGCTCATTCAACAGCAGAGGGTGAAGGAATGGCTGCAGGCGCTGTTCTGACTCGCTCTGATTGATGGTTGCTGAAGACGGGGGGAAGAAGGACAAGTGAGGAGGAAAGACATGCAGAGAGGAAGAGGAGAGAGCGGAGAGGAAGCTGTCCATTCTCTAATGTCACTGCTGATGCTTTCTTTACAAGTGTGGATCACTTTGCTGTTGTGAAAACAGATCACACCAAAGCAGGAAATGGGAAACCAGGTCAAACACATTAGGTCCAACTGGGACTTGAAACACATTCATCGATATCCTTAAACATGGTGTGTGTTTATTACTGAATGTGTGAGTGGCTTTTAAAAGTTGCAAAGGCACTCTTTCTTTATAAGGACGTGCTGCACCTGTTTTGAACACACACAAGGGAATAGAGCCTTGAGAACAGGGCAGAACAGGACAGGAGTTCACCCACAGGGAATATTATTCATGGGCCAGGAAGTCAACCTGCGTCTGACTGATTTGGAGTGGCAAAGAGGTTTGGAGCCACTGTGTGTGAGACTGCATTTTCTTATGCATCAAGGGACATTCAAATTCAACCTTATGTATGTATATTTATATATTTAAAACAATTCAAATTTAGCACTTCCTTTACACTTTTGTGAATAAAATTGTAAATGAATCAAAAGCTATGTGGTTGGGATAATCTTCTTATTTACTAATGTAACGAATAGATATTAAGTTAGTGTTGGAAGTTGGCATAGCCACACATGCTCTCAGTTGAAACTCAACATGTATGTATGCTGTACTTGTGAATGATATGTCCTTCAGATTAGTGGTGAGTATACTTCATTGGTAGTTGTTTCTCCCTCAGAGATGATGAGTGATTTGTTGCACAAACTAGACATGTCCTTTGACTATCTCATGTTGACACGATATATTGTGTGATTTAAATAATTAAATAATAGAAAACCATAACACTACCATCAAGCAACATAGACAAAAAAACCATACTAGGCTGTATGTAGAGAGAAGATGATGACAACTAAAGCAGAAAGGAAAAAGGTGAAAAATACATTTGTGCCAGATGAGTGGGTGTTGTTAAAATGATTGAGCAGTCTTCTCCTGCCAGATCAGAGGCCTGTCAAAATGCTAAGGGTCCCCCAGGACCCCCTGGAGAGACCGGTTTGTGGAAAAAAGATGGGAATCCACTCCTGGAAGGTGGGGGTGGTTTGTGTGTGGGGAAAAGCGGGAAGTGAATCTCAGTAGACTGTAGAAAATCTTTGAGTGAAAGGAACAAACAAATGCTAATAGCTACTTTTTTAAAGGAGCTCATTGTGATGGTTGTGACTGATTGTACGCCAATACACATTTGTTGATTTCTTTCAGGAAAGAAGGGTATCCAAAATGTGTTAAGATAAGAACTTTTAGGCTGACAAGATAAGAATGTTAAGCTGTTTTGCAGGATTATTGATCCTTTCCTCTCCTCTCCTTTCCTGTACCACTTTTCTTCTATTTCTCCTCTGATCTCATCCTCGGCTTTTTCCCCCCTCTCCTGTCTCCGCCGAGAGATAAACTGCAAATGACCTTGTTTCCCCTCCCTTATCATTTTCTTTGTTTCCTTTGTTGTTACATTTTCAGCAACATCTCACGGCTGCTCAAGAGACAATATGATTGGAGAGGAAACAGAGAGATGCTAGGAAGGGGAAAATAGAAAGAAAAGAGAGCATCTGTCTGACGGCAGAGGGGGGTTTGAAACCCCTCCTGGACTTAACACCATATAAGATTGTGGAAAACACCAGCTCGAACAGAAGGAAATATAAATACACCAGAGAGAAAATGAAGTCTACCCCCATCGTCGTTTTTATTTCCATTTCCTCTATTCTGCTCTATCTTTCATTCCTTTGACCTCTAAATAACCAGGACTGCGTTGTCTCTTGTTTTTAGAGCTCTCACGGGAGCAGAAAGGTGGATGAGGAGAAGAGCTTCAACAGATACATGTGGGCATGGCAGGGGGGGAGGAATTCACCTCTCGCTGTGCTACTAGGACAATTCCCAGGGTGCATTGTGGAGAGGTTAGACTGATGTACTGTTAGGCCTAATATTAGCCCTTTGAATATACATTTTGATATGTGGCCACTTGTTATCCTCTGCCTCTGTAGGATGTGATGGATGTGTTGTAGTTTTAATCAATACTACTCAGGTGGTGAAGAAAGCTATTAACCTGAATTGATTCAAGTGTGACATTTTGATTTGATTCCAGTCAAGCATGCATGGCTCTTACTCTGAACTCTTAATTTATTTGACTCACCAGTGTTTCAGAGTAAAGTTTAAACACCTACCATGCCCATTACCAATCCTGTATCCCCCATACAGTTTCCTATACACTCATGTCAATATGTCAATCGACACATTTGGACATTTTTGATTCACTAAACTTCTTGTCTGACTTTTTTTTTATCTTGTAGTGGTTATTACTGATCTGCATTCCTACGACCCTAAAGTGGTTTATTTTCACCAATAGAAACTTGTTTTCCATTCCCAGTCCCTAACTAACCCTACTGGCCAAGATCCACACCGACATGGATCTCTGCTCGGTTCCATCGGCAGCCCCCGGCCCTAGTTTACTTTCTCCCAAGCCCCTCATCATGGAAGGGCTCAGCTCTTGTTTCAACCCAACCCCAAATCCAGCCCGGCCATAACTACTGAAAAAGAATGAAATATCCTTATTCTCCAGATAGATTTTGGTGGAAAAATAAATACAGTAAGGAGTAATAAAATTGGTTTGATTTGTTGATACAGGTTCACATAGGCTTGTCATTATTCATTTTACTTTGTGAGGCTTAGGGAAAAAAAGGATATTTTGTAAAAAGCCCAAACCATCTACACATGTAGCAGTGCATTTCATATGAATGCTGATTGTCACGTATTCAGAATAAGTAGTAGTTGTATTTTAGCATTTTGGTTGCAGCAACAGTAATGTTTTGGAAAACGAAGAAACTGTTCTGATGTCTTAGAGACCCAGTAAATCCATTTGGGCAGACAGTGGCCCCTAACCCTGTCTGGGCTCCTGTTGGCCCATAATTAGTCTCTGACAGCCAACCTTGGCCCGCTGACCTTAGTGTCTCTCCATCCACAGGCAGGGACAGTAAACTCTGCCCAGGTTCCACCCCTGAAGCCTCCAGATGCTCCGCTCAGGTCCCAGGCTTTAGTCTGGGCTCTGAGGAGGAGGGGGGTGCTCCATTAACCAGCCAGGGCAGCCCTGAGACAAACGAGGTGTGTGGAGCTGAGTGCAGCTGCTCCTGCTGCTCCCGCTGCGCAACTGCCGCCACCGCACTCACACACACACACACACACACACGTTTATACACACCCAGGTCTCATAAATCAACGCAGCAGCCTCTGTCGGCCAGCCTTTGCTCGCCCGGTGTTAAAAGCCAATCAGGGAAATTACATGCAAACTCCAAGGGACCTATTTTCACTTTCTTAAGAAATCATTAGTCAATGTTATGAGCTTTGACGTCTCCATAATACCACGGCCGTCTGCCTCAGACCCAGCGCTTGTGCACAGAATTGACAACTGAACATGGGCTGCCTTGGTTTCCCTCGGCCCCCTGGGAGAGAATGGTGGCCCCAACAAAGGAGTTATGCACAAGGGAGGGGAAAAGGAGGGGGAAACTTAACTTAACAACAAGGGGAAAAGTAGAGAGGAATTTGACATTAGACTGCATGGAAAAGGGAAAGATGAGTGTGATAAGTCAAGCTAATTCTCATGTAACTACCTGCAAACACAGGAAGCAGGAAGCCAATGTTTATTTCCCTCGTACTGTCTGGTTCCTGGTTCCACAAACAAACAAACAAGGCGTGCACCAAGGGATATTGAAATAGGATTATATGACAACAAATTACTTTTTTATCAACCAGATACCCTTTGTCTTTCGGTTGTCCATTACTTATCATGGTGAATTGTGTTTCATTCATGGTAAATAAAACTGCAACTGCTATTGCCTTCACAATGGCTTGTGATCCCAGAGCAAATACTCCATTTCCCTACCATAACCCATAATGCTGTGCATCGAAGGTATATTGGGCACTACTGCCAGTGTTGGACTGCCTGAAGCCAGGGGTCTGTCAGTCAGCAACATGAACCAAATCAGGAGAAAGAAGCAGCGAGCAAAACAACCACCACATTCTAAGATCTACCTCCATATCTTCTATATTGTATTATCCAAATACCTTTCCATGCAGGAAATAGGTGCTACTGAACAACAAACACAACAGATAAAAGCTGGAATATACTTCTGGTACCTGGATGTGGTGTTGGCAGTGATTTTGAGGCTACCAGGGTTGCGGATGAGTTTATCCAGGATGCTGACAATCTGTTCAAACTTAGGCCGGTTGTTCCGCTCTTTCTGCCAGCAGTCCAACATCAGCTGGTAGAGGGTGGCCGGGCAGTCCATTGGTGGGGGGAGGCGGTATCCTTCATCTACAGCCTTTATTACCTAGGGTTAGGGAGGAAAATAAAAATGATTCAGAAACAACTTCAAACATCAAACAACATCTAATATGCTCAACTCCCTCTGTGGGACTATATTCCCTTATTTCCATGTCTGTGCCAAAACAGTTTTCACACAACCTTGAACATAAACTTCTCCTCTAGATCAGTGGCTGGTACCTTCACTGACTTCCCATCAGTAAACACACAGGAACTTGGCATCATGGCAGTACTCACATCCTGATTGGACATCTCCCAGTATGGTCGTTCTCCGTATGACATCACTTCCCAGAGGACAATGCCATAACTCCAAGCATCACTGGCTGACGTGAACTTCCTGTAGGCAATAGCCTCTGGAGCTGTCCACCGGATGGGGATCTTACCTCCCTGAGAGACAGGAAATTAAAAAAAGTGAATTCAGTTAGAAACTTGGCTGATCAGTTTGTTCTGCAAATGTATATTTGGTTATTGGATTGTCAGACATGTGTTATTGTCAGTTTTATGATATACATTTAATGGTATACATATAAAAAAAAAGGTCCGCAAGTTAATACTGAATGATGCATACAGGATATTTAATATCTTGTGTAATAGGTTTATGTCACATACAAAGCCCTGAAAAAATTAAACTATTTATGAGCTGTTCTGAAACTAAACCCTCAGTGGTTTGGACCAAGCATTATGTTCTCAACTGTAAAAGGAATCTGCATTGCAACCTACCAAGGAGACTTTACATTTCACAATGATTAATTTACTCTTCCACAATTGCAAGTATAAACATTCTGACAAAGACACAAGATACCAAAATATTTTCCCAAGAAATTGGGTTTTAAAGTATTCATATGAAATGAAATTGAACCCCATTGTAACAAAAAATGTAAGGTTCAGCTTTAATCAAAAGTATTGGCATCAGCCTTAGAGAAAGAATGAAAGAAAATACATATTAATCAAACCCTAATCTAAAGTTTCCTGCATAACATGGCAGAGTTATGTCTGTTGCATTTGTCATTCTAGCTCAGAAGCTGGACTAATGATGAAAACGGAGCTGGGGAAAAGAGGCCAAAGCAGCCAAAGCTAACAGAGACATCGGCCAAGCCACTGACGTCTAGCCCAGTGCTGTCACACACGCGCCCTCTAGAAAACACACTGATACTGCATGATCAGTAATGAAACTCTGTAGTACGATAACACATGGTAGCAGAAATGAACACAGGAAAACACACACAGCCTCTGCTTCCACATTCATACTATACACACCTGCTCGCCTAGATAAAGAGCAACATGTTTGAGCACTACATCAACAATGAACGTACATACCTACATGCATAGGAACATAACACAAAGATTCCAAATGCCAAAGATTCAAGGCTAGAGAAGTACAAAAAAGAAGACATTAAGGGCCGGATGGAAATCTGCGTGCATGTGCAGAGCGTTGTCAGTTACTGCATCACTGGAGAGTTTATTATTCTGTCTTATTATTTTAGATTATGTATTTCTGGGAAAAAGGCAAACGGCACATTGACTGTTTATTTGACAAGCAATTCTCAGCCAGCAAATTATACTGTGTTTAAAGGGGCTGCACGCATGGGCCGAGACCACAGGATCCCATGATGAAAATGACCACACGCGTACACACGTGCACGCACACACACACTGATGGATGTCTAAGGTGGGGTGTGCCTGTTGATAATGTTTCATTTCTGACATGAAGTATAAAAGTATTCTTACCTCGAAGATGTTTACACTTGTTTCTAAAAAAAGTTGATCTCACTACTGAGGTTTAGGTTCTTAAGGATTCTCTTACATGTTTCCTTGCCCAAGCATTACCTGTTTAGCAAGACATATCCTAAAACCCACTCATGTTTTCTAGACATCAAAGTAATTATACCCAAACTATTGTTGTGGTAGAGATTTTATAAGTGCATCATCTAAACAGTTAAGATATTTGAGGCCACGGAGCAAAGCTGAAAGGGCAAGGAAATACAAAAAATAAAATTATTTTCAGCATGTCAAACTGCCATTTTTGCATTCATTTTCATAACAACACATCTTGTAAAACAGATTCTATGTTGTCATTGAAAGTAAGAAGAAACTAAGTGCACTTAGTGGTGAAAATCTTAGGGTTGTGGATGGATAACAACCGGCACTAAACCACACAAACAGAATTTCTTATCAATGTAATATGTCCCTTCTGGGCACATGGTGCTTGAAGTGTCTCCATGACCTCCACCATTGTTATATGTATGCCATAGCTGTACTGTGATCGAGAGAGGCAAAGCTCTGTGGATTCATGTCAATCTCACCACAAAGCTCTGCCTTTATTTATGTGTTCTGTACCCTTGCCAGACAGAGGAAGAGTGTTTGTATCTGTTTGCTGAGATTACCTTGAGTATAAAGCGGGTGTGTTTGCGAGAAATGGCATAAATGTGGAACCAATTTCATAATAAGAACATTGCTGTTGTGTTTTCTTAAATGTACGTAAAAGACATGCAAATATTGTCTCTAATAATCTAATGTCTGTTCCCCTGTTTCTAATGTTAATGTATGTCCTTGTTGATTTGTAGACGTAGACTGACAATAAGGTATCATTGTATTGTATCGTATAATCGTTTTGCTGGAGGGGTATATTCATATTATTCGAACTAAAAAGGAAGATATTGTTGCCAGTTTGAGAGAATGTTTGTATTGAGTACCATATATCATTGTTGCATTCAGGGAGTTGTTGTGACATTGCCTTTTAAGTAGCACATTCCTGGATAAAAAAAAAAATTGTGTGTCCCAGAACAGTTGCGAACATATTGTATCACACTGTCATTTCTGTCCTTGGAATGTGTGTGTGCTCGCTCACCCTGGTGGTGTAAGCAGCCTCCGGGTCGTCCTCCAGAACTCGACTCAGGCCGAAGTCTGACACTTTACACACCAGGTTGCTGTTGACCAGGATGTTTCGAGCTGCCAGGTCTCGGTGAACATAGCCCATGTCTGACAGATACTTCATGCCCGAGGCGATGCCACGCAGCATGCCCACCAGCTGGATCCCCGTAAACTGGGCGTCGTGTTTCTAAAGGAAAGAGAAGTCACACTCGGTGTTAATGATATACATTCAAAGTTATCATCTACATACATATTACATACAGAACACAAAGGGAGCCTGACCTTTCTGATTATTTGCATGAAATGAAACCTTTCTACATAAGTGTCCACAGCACTTTCATTAACCTTTAAAACCACCTTTGACATTCCGTACCTCATCTTCAGCTAAACTGTGAAATACCATAGCCAGACACGCAGTAATGTATGGACATTAGGACCAATAAGTACATAGGATATTTATTTATTTCAATCAGTCTGGTTACTGTCCACTTTGGATATGGTGCAATGTTATAATGGCCCATGTGGTGGCAAATTCAAGACCCTTGACCTTGACATTTTGGTTGAATAATAAAAACAAAAACAGTTATTAGTCCAGAACTAAAAAATAATTATATTGTAATGCTATTCCTCTCTAACAAAATTTTTTGTTGGAGAAAAACTGATGATTAAAATGTTCTTTTATACTTTAAACACACATTGAATTCACTTAAATAGTTAAATTCATAACTATCCATATGGGGACTACAGTATTTAAATGTGTTTGGGTGTTGGTTTTCAGTAAGCCATGTCAGGAAAAGCCTAAAGAATACAAATAAATGTTAGATTGGGAAATTGGTTAGATGCAGTTATAAATACTAAAACACTTTTGGTGTGTTTGCATGGGCAATCGGGAGTCTGGTTTATGTTTGCAAACGTTTATATTTAACTCTGTATGTATGAACAGGAAATACATGGAAAGAAGAGCTCAAGTTAATAAAATACCAGCAAACACATCTGTCTATCTATCTTCTTCTTTCTATCTATCTGTTTTTTACTCAGGGTTTGCACTCAGTGTAGCATGAGAGGGAGTCATTCGTCTACATCCGCTTGCACTGATTTGCTCTGTGTTTGTGAAAGACCAAGTCATTTGCGAGATGAGTGTAAGATGAGTGTGTTTTCCTTTGAAACCAACTGGGTCCACCTCGCCTCCCTTTTGGTCTGGAGCAATTAGTGGCCAGACCACCTGGCTTAGTCACTTCAAAGCTTTGCAGATTCAGAACACAGACATACAGTGCATGAGCTGTGTGTTTCCATGTCTGTGTGTGAGTGCATATGACACATTTTCTATGATGAAGTGCAGGACTCTGGGAAAATGTCAGGAAACAACAGCTACTCCTCCTTCTTGTGTCAGGATACTGTGCAGACACATGTGGAGAAGGGCTAAAACAAGAATCAGTGCACATGCTTTCATGCCAGTGTTGAGGCTTTTGTGCTTTGGCTTTTCTCAGTGAGGCAGGTCAATTCCGCTTTAAGAGACTGGGGCATGGCAAGAATCAAATTCCATCCTGGTAGGAAGAGCAGCGGGGATACAGTTCATAAAACCTTGTCATTTGATAAGCCCAGTATGGAAAGTTTTGCTGAAACAGTCAGAACTGCTTAAATCATCCACAAGGCATTTCCAGGAATGTATAGAAAAGCCTGAACGTGTTTGTCTCAAAGCTAGTCTAGAACTTTGCTTGTGAACTAATTTGTCGGTTTCTTTTTAGTAAAAGTACAACAAACACAATTCATATACTAGTATATTTCCATCAGGTCTTACTCTATAACTGCTATATGTTCAAAAACTGACTTTTTTAATGAAGACATTACTGTATCCCATAATTTGGTCGCATGAAACTGAGATGACATTTTTAATGCTTTGTCTTTTAGAGCTAAGAAAGAAAGATGAAATCCATGCAGAGAAACAGTCTCAAAGCAAAAGACAACCTTTGAAACGTTTGGAGTTTAGACTCCTAAGCAATTGTATTTCCACTCTGATAATACTCTCTTACCTTACCAACTTTACAGAATTTTCAAACACCAAATGTCACTGTTCAGAATGTGATAAATGCAACCGCTGTAGAAATTTGTCATACAAAAAATGTGAAGGACGAAACATACATACTACCTAATAGTGACCTGGCGTGTGACTATGGTTTGTACAGGTGCAAGACACTTTATCCACCTTTTGAAGATGTTCCCCAGTGTCTCTTAATCCTCAGATTGACACCAAGTATGTGATTCCCCAACTTCCTCTGTGTACCACTAAGAGGCATCATGATCCATCCATTCTACACATGTTTGTGTGTGTTTCCAAGTTAATACTCACTCTCAAGAAATTGTCCAGGGATCCATTCTCCATGTATTCTGTGACAATCATGACGGGTTTACCTGTGACAGAAGAGAGGATTCAATCTGTGGTTACATCATCAGTTGTATCACTAACATAATATAGTGAGAGCAATGACTACTGTTTGCAACCACAAATACAAGACACTCATGTAGCCCAACGTTATATTCATTTCAGATTTATTCCCTGAAATTGGAAAATTCATAGAGAGTCAAAAAGGGGGGGGACTGTAACTTGACTTAAAGCAGACGTTCATGGGCCCTGATAGGGACCAGGTTGAGCTCTTTCCTGTCTGTCACACACACACACACACACACACACACACACACACACACACACACACACACACACACACACACACACACACACACACACACACACACACACACACACACACACACACACACACACACACACACACACCACACACACACACACACACACACACACACACACACACACACACACACACACACACACACCAGAAATAAAATGATCCCAGTCAGAGTTTTAGGGCCCCAGCAGGTCAGCTGTCAGAGTGTGACATCTTTATTTCTGTGGAGGATCTGGTTGTAAATCCTCCCCGCCTGCTATCATCTGTACCTGATCAGACTACGGTCCAACACGAGTTTATTACAGAGGGGAAGAAACTCTTAAGGAACCTTTAAATCAGCCATTGTTAAATGCACAGTCGTTGTCAGGACTTGTTTGTGTCCCAGATGGCTTTGTTCTCCCTGCTCCCCTCTTGACTCCCCCACCAGCCGTATGCTTCTTCTCCATTTTATTCTGATTAATGCACATTCCCCCCCCCCCCTCCTCCCTTGGCACCCTTTCATTCCCCGTCTACCTGTTCTCTATCATCCATGCCTCTCTTTCCCCATCCTCATCACCCCATTCTTTCCTTTTACATCTTCCCCTCTTGCATGTATTAAAGCGACCCCTCCCCACATCTGGCGAGACACAGACTTGTTTTTCCGGCAGTGACACAGGCTGCATGAAGAGGGTGATGGAATCATTTGTTTAAAAGAAACAAATAAATTGGTCTCACCGGAAGAAAAATAAATGTTCTATTGAGTCAATAGCTTTAATTAAATCAAAGCCAATCTGGTGTGAGTTACAACATTAAAAATGCCCTTATGAGTCAATCAGACAATCAGCTAAACATGTCCTATTTGGCACAACAAACAGCGGAGAGCAAATGAGCCAAGACAGAGGGTGTGCTTGAGTTAAGTCAGGGTCGGAGAGATTACAAAAATAAACTATGACTTCCAGTTCGTGATCGTCATCATGAATCATAAAGTACACCCTAATTTAAACAAACATTGTTGGCTTCTCAATTTCCCCTTAATGTAAGGTTTCCCTCTTATATACGCTTTTGTGCGTTTTCGCCACTTTAGGAAATTCGATGTTACACTCACAACAGCTTGGGTTGTCTAAATATAGTTGCTACACTTTCTCTTACAATTAGAGTAAACAATTTCTCATCATTTAAACACAGTCACAGCTAAACACCCTCCACCCACACCCCCATCCCTAAAAGGCCGTGATGGATGGCTCCGTTTACCAGCGGACGGCTTTTATAGTCTCAGGAACACACACCCCCGGTCCTCCCTCCTGTCCTCCGCCCTCTTCCCTTCCCTCTTTCTCTCTTTCCTCAACATTGGCAGCAAAGATAAAGGCCCCCGAGCCCCCTTGTATTCTGTGAACACAAGTTTGAGTGAATGTTTTTTTTTGTGTGTGTGTGTGTGAACGCGCTTGCAAATATGCAGCCTGTGGATCAGCCAAAAGCAGCAAGGTAAATGGGGTGTGAAAGTCTCAGGATTATTAAGAATTAACAGGAGCAGCTTAATAAATCACCCTACGGCAGTGTGTGTGTGTGTGTGTGTGTGTGTGTGTGTGTGTGTGTGTGTGTGTGTGTGTGTGTGTGTGTGTGTGTGTGTGTGTGTGTGTGTTTGTGTGAGAGCATATCAAATCGACCTCCTAAAACTATGCCCCGCACTCATGCTGCTCCAGCTCACGCACATTTGTTCTGGGTATCCCTCCAAATGCCATGTACACACACACATGCAAGATACACACACTCACACACACAAACAGAGTACTGAATATTGCGCTTCTTCTATTAGTCTAAAAGCAGCAAGTGAAACCACAGTGAACTGTTATTGCAGCATTTTTCCCCAGCTGGACATTACTTTTTCCAAAGTACGCTTATTTTCACTGAAAGTTATGTTGTAGCTCCAAGAATTATAATTGTTCTGCTTGATTTCTGTTAGTCGTGATTCAAAACAATGAATCATAAGAAGAAAGTACCATTAATGAATCAACACAATATGGTTTGAATGTTTTGCCCGTTGCTGTTTGCACATTACATTTAGATTAATCGGCGACGCTGTTCTTGATTAGTGTAAATCGTGCTGGTAAGTCACTTTTATCAATTTAAATGACGGCAATTTAAAAAGCATTGAGCAATAAGGGCAATGAGATTGCAAAGAAGAAAAAGAAGAAATGAATAAGAGGACCCCAACATTGTGACGATAAAGTAAGAGAAGTTTTAAATGTATTTCATTCTACTCTTTAGAATAAGCTCGCTGGCAGAACTACTTAACAAGCCTGGTGCCGCGGGGAGAGATAGGGGCCCGGCCCGTTTCAGCGACAAAGTTCAGTCTCATTATTTCCTTTGTTCTTCAGTCATTCCTTTTTAAAGAGGCCTTCTGTGTGCTAATGATAGTCTTATAAAGAGGCCCAGAGGGGAGCGAGTCAGAGATATGGATTTATGGATTTATGCTCGCTTTGGACACAGGCTTTGATCAGAGCACATTGATCTGCAGAGATTTACACAACTGCAACTCAATAAAACTCCTGTGCTCCTTTACAGAAGTGTAGGCCACTTTAGAGCCATTTGTCATGACAATTGCAAATCTGGAATCGGTAAAAGATAATAAACCTGTGACAAAATGTGAATGCAAATGTTACTCGGCTCTTTCTTACTCCATCCTATCCTCCATATTTTACACTATTCTGTGCTGTTTTGTGCTTAAACGGACCAATCAAATCACCAATGACATTTTACCATAATACCTATTACACATCTTGATACATTGGGATCACTTAAAGAACCTTGAAGCAATACCCTATATGATTAGATTAGTACAAAGTGAAATCCCTTCAGTGTGCCTTTAAGTTGGAACTGATGGAAGCACTTACTGCGTGTTACCACCCCCTCCAGCCTGATGATGTTGGGGTGGTCAAACTGTCCCATGATTGACGCCTCAGCGAGGAAGTCCCGCCTCTGCTTATCAGTGTATCCTCCTTTGAGAGTCTTGATGGCCACACAGATCTCCTTCTTGCTGGGCAGCTTCAGGCGACCACTGCACACCTCGCCAAACTCACCTAAAGACAAAAGAATGGAAGATGCAATACGGTTAAATGTAAAATATATGAACGAGACTGATAACAGCAGGATAACACTTCTCTAAATACCATCTCTGGGGTCTTACTATCTATAAACTATAATGTTGGTATTGTTCTATGGTGATACACATTCAGATATACTTTATTGCCATATATCTGTGAGAAAAGGTATATTAACATATAAATATCATATGCTAAAATGATATATGTCGTGTATCCCTAATATGAAGATTCTAATTATACTTCCCATACAACATATATATGATATTTGAATATAATTATCTATGCTCAAAGGCAGAATTGAATCAATAAGTTGAAAAGTGGGGTTTTATTCGAAATAGTTAATTTTGGTTAATCAGACTTTTGGTCATGCTAACTTGAAACGTGCCATCTATTGAAGGCAATTATGTATAATCAGTACAGTCCTATATCAGGGAAAGAAGTCCAACTTTCCAAAATATTTAACTTTTCACATCAATTCAACAATTGAACCAGAAGTATAACAAACTGAAATTAGCCGGTGAAACTAAGTAAACAGGAATCTACTTCATCACAACCTCATATGTAACTAAAGTGCTTGTCTATGTTTTTCTAACATGGATCTAACATGGTTTAGCATTAGCAATTAGCATTAGTGTGTTTGCACTGAGTTAGAAAAGCAGGTCGACAGTTTGAGGTGTCACTACGTTTGAACAGATGCACTGACCACTTAAGAGTCAACGATGCCGATCAAAGAAGATCTTGATGATTACCCTGTCATTACTTAACTCTCATTAATCAGGCTTGGTATTTATTGAACTTGGAGAGAGATCACGGGATAATTATGTGTTACGACCACTAATTACAGTAATGACACCATGTGCTGTAGTAAACTTTGAAACTGATCCACTCGATAGCACAGTCCAAATAAAATGATCTTTCAACTTTCCTCAAGTATCGTATTAAAACACAACATGACTCAACATACACTCTGGGAAATCTCAATTAGCATTCCTCTCTGGTGAGGGGATAAGCGTGTGTGTGTTTACCTCAGACCATGTCTGTGTGTGTGTGTGTGTGTGTGTGTGTGTGTGTGTGTGTGTGTGTGTGTGTGTGTGTGTGTGTGTGTGTGTGTGTGTGTGTGTGTGTGTGTGTGTTTTGTGAGCTTCACCAGGTATTGTAAGCTCTCTAGACAGGCTGGCCACTTCAAAGGCAGCCAGCCATGTCACAGCTGGTGACGGGGATTTGGCTCGAAGAAGACTAGAAGATGAGAATGTGTATACAGTATGCCTGTGTGTGTGTGTGTGTGTGTGTTTTACCCTTTACTGTATATGAAATTGAGTGTGATCATGCAAGGTGATGTCAGAGTAAAGACATGTGCAGATCTGTCTCAGAGTCCAGGACAATCATTTCCCATAGCAGCTCTGGATCAGAGAGCATGGGTCAAACAATGGACTTGAAGAGGGTCTGGAAGAACTTAAGCCGGAATAATTACACCCTGTCTAAATACCAAACGCATGTCTGTTCTCCTGGCCTTCAGCAGGGGACGGACGAGCCAGGACGAAGCACCTTTTTCATGTGGTCACTCTGAGAAAGAAGATCTTGTTCTAATAAGTCTTGATTAGGGACGCTCACCCTTTTCCTGCTCTGAGCGGAGCTAGGTAGGCTTTGATGTTACAGTCTGACCCATGTTAGCAGAGCGGAGCATGTGTTCTGTCTTTTAACACACAATCACAGATTGGCAAGAAGATCAAAGTGTTGTTAACATGTGTAATGGAGACAGATGGGGATTGAGGGAGGAATGGAGAAAGAATAGGTACTGTATGTTGTGTATTGTTCATGGTGCTAATATGGTTTCCTTTAAGGTACACGGTTGTATTTAAGCTGATGGAAAAAAAAGGTTTACATCATGGCTAAAGCTTTAAAATGCAGCTCTGATGTTCACTTCCCATACACGTTTTACAACAGTTCTAGAGTAGAGAGCTCAAGCATATAGACAACCTGTGCTCCAATAGCATCAATGGGATTCTCATAGAGGCTTATTTTAAAGAATTAAAATGTGTCTTGGGTAGCCTGGTTATATTAACATTATGTCTACAACTGTACTGGTTACAAAAAAGTTGGTGTTTTAGTCACTGTAAAATTATTTCATTAGAATTCACATTAAGCAACAACACAGTTTGTCCCGATAGCAATTAGTGTCATGGCCTCGAGGGAGCTACTTGCTGAATGCCAACAAAATAATATAAATATATTTTTCCTTGTAGGTTTAAATTTACAATTGTGTGATTATCGAGCTCAGTGCAGCATTTGACTATGCCAAGAGAATTGGCCCCAAGTGGCTCCAATCCTCCAACACCTAACGTTTTTTTTTATTGTAGAGCGAAAGACAGGCAAATATGTTTCACAGTTGGTTTGCAGCATGGTTACAAAATATATATGTATAGTATATACTTCAGGGTGAACTCAACTGTGTGTCAGGGTTTTTCGGGATCAACTGATATTGGTTTTATATGATGATACACATGACAGTATTTATAAATACATTATTAATAAAAGACTTTCCCTCATATTGAAAATGTATTGTATTTTTCTCTTTTATATGCCTGCTTGTAATTTACATTTATTAAACGTGCATGACATATGTTCATAGGTGAACACATATATAATTTACTTAAATAAAAGTAATAATACCACAGTAAAGAAGTACTCTGCTACACATGGAAGTCCTGCATTTAACATTTTCCAAACTAAAAGTACAAAAGTATAAGCATCTAATTAAACATGATAACAAAATGTAAATTATTCAGTAAAAAAAAAGTACTCATGATTTCACACTGACAACTGAGGTTGAGGAATAACATTCATATATCATATTATTGGACTATAATTATTGATGCACTAATCTGTTCATCACTTTAATGTTGCAGCAGTTTTATTGAAGTAAAAAGTACAATATTTGGCTCTGCATAGAAGAATGAAGTAATAGATAATTTACATTTTTAAGTAACGCAGGTACTTCAAAAAATTGTACCTATGTGTAGAAGCAACTAATAAGAAGCCATCCCGAGTATCAGAGTAGATATATTCTACAATCAATACAAACATGTTTAATATAAGAAGTGGATAACACTGACTTCAATATCTGATTTCCAATACATTAACCAATATGAACCAATGTGTCCTTTTAGCCTGAGATATTCCTATGTTTTATGTCTGCTATGTACTATGAGAAATGCATTGTGGAGTGTGTTGTAGTCCAGTGTGGAGCCAGGTATTAGACTCTCAGGCCGTCCTGACAGCTTTACAGTGTAGAGGGGCTGCAGGGACTCTGGAGACCCCCCCCCCCCCTTATGTGCTGTGTGCTTTACTCTCCATCTACTCCACATGAATCACAATGCATTACCCTCCCGTCTGCACTCCTGCTCAACTTATCAGGGAGTACATGAGGAGAAGAGAGGAGAGGAAGATTGTTTTACGGTTGCTTTCATTAGACTAAATTCAGAATACGATTAACAGACAATCGCCTGTAGGAAATGTAAATAAAAGAAGGAAATGAAGAGTGAAAAGGAAGACTAACCGCAGGAGAGCAGAACTACTTTAGATTTCACCATCTCTCCCTCTATCATAGAGGAGGGTTGGGAAGAAGGGACCTCAAGCTGTGGCTTTAAATGCTTTCTCAATCCCAGCTGTGCAGTATATGACACACAGTTAAACTAGCCTGCTGCTATGAAAATGTAGATATATGGGAACTCTATATGCACCTCATTTCTTTCTATATGTGGTTGAGCACTCTGTGTTTCTTTGTCATTTAAATAGAGCGTGAAAAAGAGCAAGAAAGTGAAGTAACTGTGAGGTGAGGGTGGGAAAGGAGAGGTCGGTGAGAGGAAGACACCATTTCTCTCTCTTGATCTTCTTTCTAGTTTGTCCTTTGAACAGACTTGTTAAAAGGTCATGTTTTATTTTGTTGTGGGTCAATGCTACATATGAGATGAACTGAATTTGTCATTTTGTAAAGTAGCTTTTGTCTTTTCTTGCCTGAAATAATCTGTATGTTGTCGTTCAGTGTAGCAAAGTGCACTTAAGCATCTCCCTTAGTCCATTCTCACCTGCTCCCACCACTTTGTCGATGGCGATGCAGGAGGCGTCCAGCTCCTTTGCAAACTCGTGCACAGCCTGGCTGGGGTCCTCATACGTGTGGGGGTCCACGTAGGTCCTGATGCCCGGCAGACGCACTGCAGCAGGAGAGAGCAGGTTGCATCAGTTAATGACCAGAAATCTGTACTGCTGTAGGTCCTTATGTTTGTACTTACATAAACAATTCCCCCAAACATTTTAACGACTTTGTAAGGTTATATCACTTGCTAGTGCTTAGCTTTACTTTGAAAAGCAAAACAGAAAACATATTAATGGTAAGTGATGACTCAACAAACACTGGGCGAAACAAACCAACATTTTTAGTATATGGCATTTCTCCAAGTATATGTTTTGAGAAAGACTTGTCTATCCATTAAGTAATAAAGCTGTACTTTAAAATAATAAAGTTGTGCTTTATTAGTCCCTGTTGGGTATTTGATGCTTTACATCTGACCCATCCAAACTGTTCATGATGCAGTGTAAAGTCGTGGGGGCTAATACCTGGGTCAAGGTTAATGGTAGGAGCATTACTAATAAATAACAGGAATAAAGCAGAATACGTAACACAAAAGGAACACAAATATAGGAGTTCATTATTAAGCTGTTTTCCCTTGGGATGTATACATCAAAAGTTGTTACTTTGGGTGATTGGTCTAACTTCACAGACAGCTTTTCAAAATGCTATGAGAGAGACTCTTTTGTCATTGGTCATGTTTCAATTGGAAAGGACTTTTATCCGAGGCGGTCAAAGACAACACTGTGATCTTGCTCTCTATCCAAATGAAGCTTTCAGGATTGATTTGTAAATGGACCACGAAACCATCTTTTGAGCATGGTTCCAGTCTGGATCCTGTCTTCTAATGTGACCAAATGAACCGAGGTAAAGGGGAAACCACTTCAAGTTTGGAACTAGCTGCTCCAAAACCACCACTGTGGGTAAAGACACTCAAGAAAGACATGTCCCCTATCAAACCATAATGTAACTACCTAGTTGTGTTTGTACTCCACCAATAAATAAGTGTAGACGGGGTTGGATGGATAACAGCCCAAAAACTGACGAGAACATAGAGCAGTACTTACAGTGGCCGTTGCCAAAGTGCAGTCTTTTCTCATCAGGATGTTTGGATTTGCTGTGGCAACAAAACCTGCCAAACCAAACAGAACAAAGGTCATAAGCAGTGCCACATCTCCCAATAAGACTTCAACCTGTGTGTGTGTGTGTGTGTGTGTGTGTGTGTGTGTGTGTGTGTGTGTGTGTGTGTGTGTGTGTGTGTGTGTGTGTGTGTGTGTGTGTGTGTGTGTGTGTGTGTGTGTGTGTAATCCCAGCTCTTATAAACCAAGAGAGGATCAGTAAGTCTTATAATGAGCCATGGATTTATACTCTCTCTGAACAGTAGTGACTGCCAATTGTAGGCACACACACATTAACACACAATTTATAGTTTTCTCTTATATACACAAACGTATGTACAGCTGTTACAGTATATCTTACAGGAATTATAAGGGAGAACAAATCTTATTTGGTGAAATATTAAAATAAAGTTTGCAGTCATTAGTCATCTAATCGACGTTAAGGTACAACTGGAGGGATGGAGAGCAACAGGATTACTGTGATTGGAGGAGTAAACACTCATTGACAATCAGGTGAAGTGACAGGCGGACAGACCTGCCAATCAGAACGTACAGCAACACAGTGAGCAGGATGATGGCCACGGCGGAGGAGATGGCGATCAGAACAACCTGGCTGCTCTCACTGGAGATGGAGAAGGCTGCTGAAAGTCAGAGAGAAACAGGTGATGAAAAGTTGATTAAGGATACTCGTTAAATAATACAGAAAACAATTATCTTTCAGAGACATCACACTGCAGCTGTTGAAACCCAAAGGGGCTAACAGAAAGTTAGAATTCAGAACAGCAGGAATCCTAGTGCATTAGTTTCAAATAACCAAAACCTTTACATTTTTAATAATAATAATACAATTATTTATATACAGTAGCACTTTTCAAACAGCACGTGCAGCTCAAAGTGCTTTACAAAATGGCACAGATCACAAGTTAAAAAAAACAACAATAAATTCCCCTCAGATCAGATGTTAAGACCTTTACAGATACATGCAGCATAGCAACCAAATATAACATTTGAACAGGTTAAGAGACACGAGGAGGTAAAAGGTATGATAATAGAAATAAAATACAATAGAATCCCTATAAAAAACCCTATACAATAAAGTAAACATATAGGTACAACAAAATTAAAAAGATAATAGTAATAAAAACGTCATAATTGTAATAAAGGTTATACGATTAACATATTAAAAGACCAACGCAAAAGGAAAATGGCCAGGGTATTCCTTTTTCTACTTTTCCTTATTTTCAACAACAACTGAAAACTTTCAGAACTGTTACAAGATGTGTTTTTTTGTAAATTGTGTAACTTTTTCTATTATAATCTTTTTCTTTTATCTTGAATATTTTTTTAGGTAACATTAAGCTGTCTTCGGCTCTTTTCTGCTGTGACAATGTAAATGTCCCCTCTGTGGGACTAACAAAGGTAAAATGATCATTATGATAAGCTGCACTTACAGTCGGGGCTGGTCTCGAACTGGAAGCTGGGGCTGCTGGCTCCGTACCCGGCTGCCGTGCGCGCCCTGATCTGCAGCAGGTAGGCCGTGTTGGGCTTCAGACCGCTCAGAGTCACGTTACAGCCCCGCGCACGCAGGATGGTGTAGCTGGTCTCCTGCTCTTCCTGAAACACAAGGCGGATACCGTTTAAATAATTAAAATTATAAATATTTAGACAGTTGCCTTTTAAGAAAAATACTTCAATTTGTGTTGGAAACTAGTAATGATTGCCATACAATAGAAGCGTTATGTGCGTTTACACACACATGCTTACACCCACTCCCAAATATCCCTGACAGCTATCTGATGAATTATGTCCTCCTTATTTTATGGCTTCTCTCCTACTGATCTCCACTGATAAACAACAGGGGGATTTACACACCGGGGCTGCATTCAGATTATTGTTTCCAGATGTGGAAGGAAGAAAAACGCTGAAGAAATGATGAGAGGAGGTGGATGGAGAAAAGGAAAGAGAAAGACAGTTTTTTTTTAAATGTACTGTGTGTGTGAGAAAATTAAAGAAACATTATATTAAGTATGATTTCAATTATATTTTCAATTTAATGTTTTAATAGAAATGTCAAGTAAAATCCATGATTGGAAAGTAAAATAATTGTACATTACACAAGGCAAGCCTGTTTCAAGGACACCATCATTGAGCGTGAATGAATAAGTACGTTTTAAACAATTATTATTATTTCTTCAACAACATTTGAAGAATTATTTTGTGGTTCATAGCATGTTTGAATTTTCCAGGGTGGAAATAACTGAACTAATCCGTGCTGCAGAGAGATTTGCAATCACATAATTATGGAAGCAATTCGATGCTATGAAACAAACTGCTAAATAGACGGAAAATTGCACTGTGCCGATCTTACATTTTAACGACAACTTATTAGAGATGACTTCAACAATCCTTAAAATGAGCTACATGTTTTGCAACATAGCCAGTCTCATAAAAATCATCCAAGGCCGAATCGCACGCACACTAAAAACCTTATTTTATAGGCCTAGTTACAAATAGGCCCTCATTGGTACTGGCAACAACATAAACACAAGTACACATTCACACATTCACACAAGCAGCGTCCAAAAGGAACTTCAGGCCAATTAATGGAGCGGATCAGAGTTTTATGGCGCACAAAGCTTTATAAACTGCTCTATGTGTGAGGAGGTAACGGATACTCCAGACCAGCGCTGGGACAACTCTTCATCACAACTATAAATCTACTCGCAGCTTGTCACTGTTCCTCGTTCAGGACAGCATGTGCACCCCTGGAAATCACACACAGGTGTGGCTAGAGCACCTTTGTGTGTGTGTGTGTGTGTGTGTGTGTGTGTGTGTGTGTGTGTGTGTGTGTGTGTGTGTGTGTGTGTGTGTGTGTGTGTGTGTGTGTGTGTGTGTGTGTGTGTGTGTGTGTGTGTGTGTGTGTGTGTGTGTGTGTGTGTGTGTGGAAACAGAGAAAGAAACATGGGTCTGACACGTCTCTTCACTGCAGCCCGACAAGTTCTGCGATTCTGAACCATCCAGTTCTGTGTGTGTGTGTGTGTGTGTGTGTGTGTGTGTGTGTGTGTTTGTGTGGGTGTCACCAGAGCACTGCTAGAATGTAAGACGGCCTCTGTGCTGCTTTCTGCTTCGACAATCTAAACAGAGCTGTAGCAAATTATAGATTGTATAACACACACACAGTATCACACGCACATACGCACATGCATGGATGCAAACTCCTTCAGACCCGAAAACAGGAGATGCACAGCAGAAGTCTTGTAAATACAGTGTTTCAGGCAGCATTCCTTCCTTCTTAGACTAAATAAACAGCCCAAATTGAAGCCAATCGAAAGCTCTCTCTTTGCTCTTTAGATTGCTGTGATAAAACATGAAAAAACAATCAGCAAAGCGTATTCCCACAAATTCTATTTCGACAAAGTGCACTTGAAAATGCCTTATTGGCTGCGGAGCGCCCCTTTAGCCGGTGTAAGCGACAAGAAGATCACGCAGCTAGATGAAACACCTCTCTTTTTCTGGGAAGTTTTTTGGTTGGGAATTCCCAAGAATATCACCGAACATTCTCTAAAAATTCCCATACTAGATAGGACACACAGTTCAGGATCAGCCATTGCACTTTGGAAACTGGAGCCTCTGGTTTCACGACCGTGTGACAGAGTGGTATGTGTTAGCGGAAAGGGAGGGGAAAAATACTGTTTACCTTTTTTTTGGGTATAAAACATACATTTTGTTGAACCTACTCAACATAGTGTTTATGAAATATTTGGTATGAGTATTTTGTAGAACAAATGTAACTTCCCTGAAGGCTAAACATGTAGCAATGAATATGTGAAGATTCCAGTTGTTCAAAATTATTAATATCTTTTGTGTAACTTAAGAAACAGCATGTGCCATGTACATTAAAGGTTATTAATGCTACTGCCTCGAATGAGTCTGTTTTATGTTCTCTTAAATGTGTGTGAACATAACCCTACATTCCAAATATTTAGATGTCGTAATTGTACAAAGCTTTGGCAATACTGTATGTCATTATGGTCATGTCAATAAAGATATTTTAATTGAATTGAATTACTGTATGTGTTACAGTACATGATCGATTGGGAAACCCCTGGGAGAATTATAAGTCCATGTTTTCAACATTTGCCAGAAAAGTTGTGCAAAACTGGTTAATTTTCTTTAAGGATAAGACGTCCAATCAGCACATAGCATATTATTTCAAGTAATTTAGTATCTACATTTTAGATACTAAATGACTTAATAATAATTGTTGGGTTCTGCCTCACACTGTAAAGCCCTTAACTATACCAATGAAATACACAACTTAACTAAAATGGTCATCTCACAATTGTCCTCATTCGGCTCACAGGACAAAACAAATCTTGATTTTTAGACCTCACAAAGAAAAACAGAACTGTAAGGTCATTCCATGTCCGCCATCGGTTTCTCTCCAGAAGTCTCTTGGTCCATGCATAGCATAATTCTTCTACCATGCAGATATATTTTAGCTTAGAATTATGTTGTGTGGTTGTTGGCGAAATGTTCATTTTTCTAAGAGAAGCTGGAGTCATCGGTATATTGATATTGGGTTACATGATAATGTACACTGTGTATGTCTTGTGTAAATAAAGAAGAAGGAAACCACAAACACATAAAAGCAGAAAGTCTGGCTGATGCTGCAGATCTGAACATCTTCCTGCTAAAAGCTTCTGCTATAATCTCTCTCAGTCTGTTTTTGAGTTCTATTTTACCATCCTGTTTATGCGTTCATGCAATTATATCTGTGTGTGTCTGAGTATGTGTCTCTAAAAGCCTCTTTCTGGCTCATAAGTGAGTCATGGTGTGGTCTTGGTGATGGGAAGTTGTGCTCCAACTCTTGCCCTCTTACGGCCTCGGCCCTTGGCAAGCTGGAGGCGCTCAGCGTCCCTCTGCCTGCCACCAGAAGAGGCCTCTATCCTGGGTTTATTATGGGGGTCTACCCTGGTTGTCCCAGTTTGCTCTTCTGCATGGAAGAGCCTTTTGTCTGGGGTTTAAAATCCCTGGGGATGTATGGCTGCTGTGGAGAATCCTATGGGAACGTATTTGTTTGTGTGTCTGTCTCCGAGTGTCTCCAGTAACTCCTGAGAGAAAATGTGATTAACGTGGATCAGCGCAAAGGCCAAGAGATTCCTCATTACAAAACGGTGTCACACAGACTCTTCCTTAAACTCCACCCTTTCATTCATTCCCCTATCTTGTCCCGATGAATATGCATTTGTAATGTGTGAGAATGTGTGCGATTGAAAGAACACAGCTGAGAATTAGACATGCAGTGAGCTCTGACCCAGGATCAGTCATTAACTTCTCCTCTCGCTGTTTTCCGTTTTAACATCTTAGGTAGGGATGGCTGAGCAGGGAACAGAGTTTAGAGAGGAAACTGCTTCTGTCGGCCTACTAATCAAGAGATTAGGGGCCACTGTTGGCATTCAAGCAAACTGTGATCTGGGACACACACACATACCCCCACAGACACACACACACACACACACACACACACACACACACACACACACACACACACACACACACGCACACGCACGCACGCACGCACACACACACACACACACATGAATCTGCCAGAGTAATTAAACTTGCATCCACGGCTAATTTCACCATCAAATGTCAGCCATAGCACAGCATTGGTGCTGAAAGCCAGTGTAATTCGTTCTGCACTAATTTCTCTCACAGAGGAATGAGCGACCCCACAGACGCATTTACTGTCTGCCATAAAACTTGTCTCCATTAGGAGGACTGGAGAGAAGAGGAGGACAGGATGAGAACTAGAGGAGGGGGAGATGAAAAAAAGAGAGATGCGAGGTAAACACAGAGGGAGGAGGGGAAGAGTATGAGGCAGGGGAATGAAGAAAGAGAGACAAAAAGTTGAAAAGAGTGGCGGGGTGGTAAGAAAAGGAGAAGGGAGTTATGGGATGCAGATTGAGAAAAAAAACAAAAAAACATCAGTCTCATGCTAAAGATTTAACCCCAACTTTTTTTTATGTTTGAGGGAATAAGGGACTGTAGTGTTAAGGGATAACACTACAGTTCCCATACCATACCATTCTCACATTTATCTGGTAATTAATCACACAGTTAGACTTAGCAAAAAGGGCATTTTTGGGTAGTGACACTTGTTTTGCTACATCTGAAGCATAACTTCCCATGCACAATCATTAGAAAATTAGCGGCTGTAAACATTGACTTTGGAAAGTTATTATTTCATCTAATTCATGTGTTCAGGGCCAGAGGAAACTTTGAACATGCCTGAAGAAGGAACCTACTGAACATGCTCAATGGGCCTAAAAATGCAGAAGAAGGAATTCTTAAGACTTTTCAACCGTGTGCACCAAAGAAGCACATTTCATAGGAATGAATGTTTTTCCATCTACAGTAAGTGAAACAGCTTGCCTGACTCTATCCAATGATAACAAAATCAACCAACGAGCAACTCTAAAGCTAACTTATCAACACATGCTAAGTTTATGCTAGCATTAGCCTTATTTGTACCAGGCAGATATCACAATGATTTAAATGTTCTTACCAAAGTTGCAAAAGAGCATATTTTCCACAATTATGCCTTTAAGAACTCCACTTTGTGATGCTGCCCTGCTCAAAGGAACACGAGGCAATGCATTAACAGTGATATATTGTGCACCAACCTTTTCGTAGTATTTTATCTCGTAGTCGAGGATAATGCCGTTGGGTCTCTCTGGCCGTTGCCAGGACAGGGAGACGCTGTTTCGAGACGTCTTCTCCTTTCTGATCACTGTCACCGGGGAGGGAGCTGGGTGGGAGACAAGGACACACACAGACAGGAAGAAAGAGAGAGAGAGAGTGAGTGAGGTTCAGTGGAAGTTCAGTCCCCCGGTGTTGCATCCTGGCAATTGTCTATGGTTCCTGTTAGCCTAATTCAGTTTGCTGCCCAGTGGGGCCGCATTAAAGGCTGAGGCCTGGAGATGGTGGGTGGGACGAGACGATGTACACTACTACAAACACTGGCTGGTGCACACACACACACACACACACACACACACACACACACACACACACACACACACACACACACACACACACACACACACACACACACACACACACACACACACACACACACACACACACACACACACACACACACACACACACACACACACACACACACACACACACACACACACACACCGTGAATACTTGGTCATAGAAATATGATATTGAGATCAGTCACGTTCAGTAGCCCTCTGCGAGAGATAGTGCTTAGGTCACATGATTCAGCTTTATCTCATCAAAACAAAACATTATGCATTTTAATAATGAAATCAAATGTTGAGTTTTATATTGTGGTCAATACTGCTAGTGGCAGCAGAAGACTGTGTCAGTGGTGTTGTCTCTTCTCTTTTGGGCATGAAAGCACTTTAACAGATTAAAACGAGTTTCTTTTCAAATGGAATATTTATTTTTAGACAGTCGATTGCTGTATGAAGTAATGGATTGGATGTTTTTAAATGTTTTCATTCTGGGAGGAATCACTTGGAAATAAATATAAATATCATTAAAATGAAGAAAAGCAATGCTATGCTTGGCTATCAAAGTAAGTATGTGGATCTGATGATAATATCAAAGTCCTTTTCCATCATTCATTTAGTTCCTGCTCGTACTGCGTAACTTCAAATGAAGTACACTGGTGTGTCCTTTCGTGTTTATTGTTGCGTAGAATGTTTTGTGTGCGTTTCTCAAAAAGGTGTTTTATTTTGAAATACTTTTCCAAGTCCTTTCCCTTTTGGTAAGACGCTCTTACTGATATTCCTCACCCATCCTCACCATGCATTGCCTGGGGGAGTTCAGATGGTCTCAATCTAGTAATTCAGCACGTCTCTATCAAGCCCTGCATCCCACCCTCATTCTCTCTCTCTTCACTCCCTTTCTCATTTCCTTTTTTACTGCTCTCTAATTGCCAGGCAGCTCCAGCTCGGCATCTGAGGCATCGACTTTTCATTTTATTAGACCACAGGAAAAAACATGTTTGTCTTTGAAATGTTCGAGCCTTTCTTGATTGTGATGATATGGCTGCGGAGTGTGCGTCTGTGTATACTCGCGCTTATTTCCGCGGGAAGTTATTTTTTCTCCTGTAATGAATCCAGATGGGAAGAATCTGTTTCTATACCCCCTGCTCCTCCTCTCCTCCCCTCCCTCTGGTTGATACGGGGTGAGGCTGTGCTTTTTATTGGCTCTGTGGTTTATGGTGGTAATGATTTACTGTGTCTGGGCCGCTTGGAGGCAGCTTGGAGTTCCTCTCCTCCTCCTTTTCCTTCTCCTTGCTTCCCTCTCTCCTTCTATCGCTCCCTCTGCATGTCTATCGCAGAGCACTTCATTTGCTGTCACTCTCGGTTTCGGTCCGTGGTATAACCGTAAAACTGATACAGCAAACCAAGCCCGTAATGGCCTTAAAAAGTGGCCATCAGCATCATTCACCTGTGATGCAAGGGACACAACGCAGCTGGTTGAAGCACATCTATGAATTTTCTACAACACTTGCGGACCATTGGGGGGGGGGATTATTGGTAGTAACGTAGAACTCAATGTAAAGCGAGGCTATCCAATGAAACAGCTTTGCTATCCATCTCTTCTTGTTTTGTGTTTGCTTGTTATCTTTTTATTTTTGCATCTCCATTTTCTTATGAAACCATTTTGGTGCACATTCTCTTGGACTGCACAGCTGTTGATCTTTACCACCTTGAAACGTCATCTTATTGATCATCAAATCGGATGAAGTATTGACACATTGTTTCGCAACATTTAAATATGATCACCTAAAAGCAAGCGTCCTGTATGCGCATGCATCTTTTTCTTGCTAGACCCCCTTGGCGAAGTGCAGCCACTTTTTTAAACTGTTGATATTACACTTCTCTAAATGTAGATCACACACTCTTTATTTCATGACAGAGTGTAGGGCAAAGGATGTGGAAGGTGCTACCTGACAGCACCTTGACAGCACAGCCAGGACAGACAGCACCTTCCCAGGGACACATTTAATCCAGCTGTTAACAGCATTGGCATCTGTACGTCTATGTGTGTGTGTGTGTGTGTGTGTGTGTTTATGTGAGAGAAAGTGTACGCTGCTGGCGCACTGACATACCTAATCCTTGTAAACTCTCAGGGCTGATGGAGAGTGTGCAGCTGCAGGCGGATATATTGGTTAGAGAGGGAGAGGGCTGTGTGTGTGGTGAACGTGGGTATGGTGGTAAGGTGTGTCTGCTAGATCTATGATACGCAAAGTCGAGGATTCATCTTCTATGATGATTGCTTTAACATTAAATATGGTTTTCAATATTCAGAGCACACACTGCCCTCTTAGTGTTGATAAGCCCTCTTCTAATGTAATATATATGCCGATCACAAGAAGAAACCCCTTGAGTTACCATGCAAATTGTAACATCTACTAATAAAAGACTTCAAAGCTTTGCTACACTTTTTTTCCTTTTAACCCTTTGGGGTACAGTCATTTGGCAGGGTGTGTCCTGGTGTAAAAGGGGTGTAACAACAGTGTAATATTGGTGTTACATGGATGTAATATGTGTCTAAAAACAGGGAATTATGGGTGTTATAACAGTATAACATGTGTGTAACATGGGTATAACATGGGTCTAACATGGGTATGCCATGGGTGTACCATGGGTATAATATGTGTGTAACAGTGGTGTAATTACGGTAAAATAGGGCTGTAATCGGGATGTATCAATGTCTAATATGGATGTAATAACAGTTTAAAATGGGTTCAGTATGGCTGAAATAATGGTGTAACACGGGTGTAATTACAGTTTAATAGTTCTGTAATATGGATGTTTTAATGTATAATAAAGGTGTAATGTAGAGAAAACCAATTTTACGTGAAATTAGTATTATTTTAAATCTGCATTTCCCTTTCCCCTCATAGCGACATATGATTTGAGTCCTGACTAATATTCAGGCTTGACATGTGCACGTACTGTATGTGAACAAGCACACAATCTATATTTACCTCTCATCGCTGCCCTGTCACTTTAAAGAGGTCATGTCTGAACCTTGTCATGTCTAATACAGTCGAGGTTTGTCAACAGAGAGCAAACACTGCCTATATCTGTCTGTGTTTGTATTGTGTTCACACACAACCTTTCACATTTGCATATTCATCACCCTGACATGTGTCTTCCTCTGGGAGTTTACTCATGTATGATCTACCCTTACAGTGCGTGTACATATGTGTTTGCACACTCTTCACACACTATGCTAAATTGATCGCAGAAATAATAAAGTTCTAAGTCTTGCCTTGATTTGGACAAAGGTGTCTTGCCTCACTGATATTGTAAATCAAAGCAGCTCTAGTATCATGACATAAAGCAGATTCAAGGAGTTTCCATGTCTAAATGTAAAAGAAAACAAACAATAGTCTTGAATCACGATACTTCTCGACATAGCTGCTTTGACCACTAGGTTTAAATTCATAGCTCTTGCCATCTGCCTATCATCAAAAAAGTTATATAGTGCCTGACCTCGCTGTATGACAACCAAGGAGAGCAACTCCCAAGTGCTAAACCACCTCCCAAGGTTTGGAAGTAGAACAAAAAATGCCCCACAAGAAGAAGAAAACAGCAGGCTGGGTTTGGAAAGGGACAGGTAGAAATAAAGATCCTGTTCTAGATGGAGAGAGAGATAATGATTGAGAGGAAATCCAAAACAAAACGTTAAACTGTTGACACAGAAACATTACCCAACACAAAGGCAAACTGTAAGAGAACAGTGAGGGATCGGGAAAAGGATACATGGATGTAGTACAGCCAGTCCTTTGCGCATTCCTTGATCGAGTTAGAGATTTCTGAGGTTTGGCGCTTTCTACTGCAACTAGATTTGTTTTACTCTTGGAATTTCAAAACACCACTTCCATTTGACCTCACATTCGTCTAAGGACTGGATGTGTGGAGAGATATTTGTATTAAAGATTGATGGGACTTTTAGGTGCCCAACCGTTAAGTTAGGAGTTACTGTTAAATGGATGAGAATGTCTTTTTTGGATGAAGGAAGAAATATAATCCTGGTTGTTAAACTAGAGAATAGTGGTCTGGGATCGCCTTGTAAATGTCCAGGGCTGATGGTTGGAGTGCATGTGTTTGGAGCACATGGACTTCGGGAAGTGTACTGTACTATATGATACAAATATTAAGAGGGAGAAAGGGCGTAGTTTAGAGAAAGACACTTGTATACTGTATCATCCATGTGTTAGCTATACGTCTTTTTTTAGTTATACATTTGTGGTTTTAAAATCAGTGATATTTTAAATACATGTTTCTTCATGCATTAAGACCACACACCCATATATAAACCTAGTGTCTGGACTCTTATGGTGTAAACCCTGAAACTTAAACCTCTTGAACTGAAATTAAAGCCAGACTAAATGTTGCAAGTTTGAGATTTTCATCTAAAAAAAGTTTTTGCTTGATGAGCCATTCAGATTCAGTGGTTGGTTCACCTCAAACAGAGGAGAAAGAAGCTGAGATTTGAAAAATGTTGGTCTAAAAAGATTGCTTTAGAGTATATCTATCTGATTTTCTGAGTGTATGCCTTCATCCATGTATCCATCTGTTGTGACATCTCACCAGCTTGGTTGGTGGTGATGGTGACAGCGGCGTACTGTCTCATCTTGGGTGCCAGCGATGACACCCCGCTCAGCGCTTCAATCTCAAAGGTGTAGTTGGTGTGGGCTAACAGGTCGCCCACCGTCACCGTGGTGTTGTGGAGGCCCGCGGCTCTGGGCAGGAAGTGAACATTGCTCCGGCACGGCTCACAGCGCAGGTTGCCGCCGTTAGTGCCGTTAGAAGCTACCCCCCGGCAGCGCTTGCAGAGGACATTGAAGGTGATGTCCCTGCGGCCGCCGGCGTCCTCAGGCCAGCTCCAGTCCAGGATGACCGAAGTCTCGTTGATGGAGGAGATGACATTTCGAGGAGCTGAAGGGGGTCCTGGTAGACATTGAAAAGAAAGAGAGGAGGTGGGAAAAGGAGGATGATGTCATTAAGGGATGAAAGAAACGTTTGGTTTGGATAGTAAAATAAGGTAGAAAGCAAGGTAATTAGTAGAAAAGGAAAGAGGAGAAAGCAAATAACGGCGAGGTGGAAAATAGTATCAACTTCAAACAGAAGTCTGACATTAGATGGAATAAGATTTAAAGGTCACCTACAAAATCCACTTTTTCCTGTCTTTTATAAATAAACATGTGTCCCCTCTGTGGAAAGAGATTCTGAAAGTTTCAGGAAAAAAGATTCTCTCACTTTTTGTCCTGATCCATTTATATAAAAACCTGTCTGAAAATGAGCTGATCAGATTTTGGCCACTTTATGATGTCATAACGATTTTTTGCTTGTGTAACCATTAGCCAATAACCAACCAAGGTAACCCCCCCCCCGCACCTTATCACCTGAATCTCCTCCTAGAGCACCATTGTGTTCTTTTTAACCAAATATCTCTCAGAGGGGCGTGGGGAGTGGCTCCTTATTTTCATCTAAAGTAACAGACAGAGAATCAGCACTTTTGAAACAGGGCTGAAACAGAGGGGATTATGGGATGCTACAATGATCTGTTTGGTATTTGGAGCCAAACACTTCAGAGACATGTTTTGTATATATCTGAGAACTATAATATATTGATGAAAAAGAGTATAATAGGGGACCTTTAACAGCAAAGTCATCTGTTGAGGTGTTCAATGAAGCCTACTAAAAACAAGGGATTATATAAAAGAATAGACAGGGGCAGGATTCCTCTAAAACAATGTAATGGCTTTATAAAGTGCGTGTGTTAAAAAGGTTTGCTGTTTTTTCCAGGAAGTGAGTTTTCCAGGAAGAAACTGGCCATGTAAATGGGTCTTTAGAGTGCAAAGGAAGTGTACCTTCTTGGAGATCTTTACTGAAGAAAATTGCAATAAATGCTGCACAATGTATTCTCAACCTCTGTTATTGTAGTTTAATTACGGTGATATCATGGTTGAGTGAATATGAGTGTGTGTATGCATCTGTTTTCCTCTTTTTCGTTCAGTAAAAGAAGAAAATGGCATGACACAGCCTCTTCGACAGAAAAACAGACTGTCAAACTCTAACATATAAAAGACTGACATATAAAAGTAAAAACGTCTTATTACAAACAGATCCCTTTTGAATATTTCCAGATTTGTATATCAAAGCTATGGCTGTAATTACATGGAGAACAAAACAAAACTGCCAAGTTACTCTGTTGAGAAGTTGCAGTAGGAGAGGAGGGAAATGGGCTTAGTGGATTGTGCCTTGAGATAAAACGCTTTGTTTGGTTTGTTTGATTTGACAAGAAATGACTTCACTCTCAAACTATGCATAGCTCCTGTCTCCTGGTAATCTGCATTACAGTCTGTAATTGTGTTGTACAAGAGAGAAATCAGAAGAAAATATACCAAAATCAGAAAATACGTCAGGGTATTTGAAATTCTCTCAGAACTAAATTGAGCATTTCTTAAGAAGTCATGTCAGCATGACTCATTTCTGCAGCTCCTGGACTGATTGATCTGCCCTAAGCAGGTTTCTTATTGAAAAAGCTTAATAAAATGAGTTAAATACACAAATAGATCATACTGGAGGAGCAATCTAAGTATTGGCTATTGCATTAGGCTTTTTTGGATACCAGTTTCATTTAAATAGCAAATCAACACGATTTATGATTATGAATAGTTTTAGAACTATAAAGCTTGTTCTTAAGCCTCATCGAAATCACCAAATCTTAAGAGTAATATGTCCTGTTTCTATATTTAAACACAATTTAATGAGGCACATTTGATTAAAAGTACAACAGGCAGCGTATCTCATAATACATGTGAAATCTTTCTCAACTATTGACCATCAGAACAAACAATCAAGGGAATTCTCGCAATAATCACAAATGAATTGTTCAGATAAACTATTAAAAACTATTACTCCTTCCACTAACAGAGAGAAAACAACTAATTATTGCACCCAACTGTATGTATATGTCACCCTACTTTGTGTATCGGTAATCATGAGATGATATTTTCTTTACTAAACTAACACTAACCCTGACAGTCCTCTGGCTCACCGACACAGCTAACTCTCCTGACCACATCAAACTCTTGGCCCTGTAATGCATACAAGGTATACCTGCACAGGCATGCACATGTACACATGCAGCCAATCATACACTAATTCCGAAACGTCAAAATAATACATCGACATCGAGATTAACATGTGACATGAGTTACGGAGCGTAAAACCCGAGGATGTGTGTTTTGGTAATTCTCTTTAGGCCCATTCCAGCCTTACTTAAAAAAAGGGATTTCCCTGAGTTTGTTTACAAGTTACATTGTTGGTGATGCTCAGATAGGAAGACCAGCACATTTTTGTTTAAAATTGAAGGAGGTGCTCTGGGACGGAGGGGGTGTATTGATGCATTTTTAATTGGTGGAACAGAATTCTTGGGAGTAGACATACCTTATACACTGCTACAACAGCTGTTTCATAAGTGTCCCATGTTGAATACAGCGGAAAATACCATACGGATTCAAGTGTGTTTTTCTTCATTTTTCGTCATAAGAGTTTAGTTCTCTTACTTCCTGCCAACATTTTCAGTTTTCCAGAGTCAATTCTAAACAACCTCTATCCCACCGCTAACAGTATAATCATGATCATTATCTCCTAAGAACTTATCTATTCATTTGCAGGCCCCACGTCGCTCAATCTGTCCCAATGAGGTGGAATTTGCCTAGTTGACAAGATGGCGTCGAGATAATCACAACAGGGACATGCCGTGACTGCCTTTCTAATTAGGAGCCTGTCTCTGTCTCAGGGCGTCCATTTGCATGTTGTACTGTCCTCCACACGGTGTAAGCACTTCTTCTTCTTCCTAGCCCGTTTAGTAACGGATATCTCCATAACCTGACATCAGGGAATGCAGTGATTTATCGGTTTACAGGGAATGCTTTTTGGAAAGCTTGCTGCAGGAGGCATCTGCAGTCCATTTGCATCAGAGGAGGACAAAAGAGAATCATGTAGAGAGCTGTAAAGGTGATCAAATGTTCTTGAGCAATCATGGCTTTGGTGACCTTTAAATAAATAAGGAATGTTAAAGAATGCTCTTGGTCTGTTTGTAATATATTTTACTGGTGAATTGGGAATCTTCAATTGGATTATCCGTACAATTCCAACTATAAATGAAATCCCGCTGAGTAGAACAATACCCTGAAAACACTGTTAGGCTCTTTCCATCAGAACCAGTACAAGCTTCTGGATTCAATTTGCACATTAAATGCATAAACGCAATATCGTTTTTCATGAGATATCTTCTTTCTTGTCCATCCAGTGCCATTCCCATTATTATTTTTGTCATTTTTAATGTCTATTTTGTCATAAACACAACATCTATACTATGTCTGTTCATCCTAACAGATGGATCCCTCCTCTCCCTGAGGTTTCTTCCATTTATTTTCCCATTAATTGTGTTTTTTTTGGAGGGACTTTTCTTTTTCCCCTGCAAGGGTCCAAGAACAGATGGTGTCGCATGCTGTATGAGACAAATGTGTAATTTGTAATGTTGGGGTATATAAATAAATTTGATTTGGACAGAAATGTTATTTTGCAAAGTGTGAAAATAATCTAAAACACAATGACAGCCAAATGAATGGGTTTCAACATCTCTTAAAGGCTTAATGTTAATATATGATTCATATAGCATGTTATATGGGCTATGAGAAAAATCCTCCCATATCACATTGGAGGGCTCCTCTGGTCTCGGGGCTATCTCATAGAAAAAGTACACGAGTATCTGCAGCAAGGGAGGAACCTGCACTGTATCAGGATGTCACCCCTCACATGATATATCAGATGGTTCCAAATGCTGCTGAAATCATAACTTTAATATGAAGGCACACTTACGGGTACAGGCCATGGATGCAGGGTCTCCCTCGGCACGGAAGTAGTTTTTCTCACAGCCACAGTGCAGCGACCCCTCGTGGTGAGAGAAACTATGAGGTGGACACTTGGAACACTCCATATTTCCAAGATTCGATTTGTAGAAGCCCGCCCTGCACACTGGACACAAAAGAACACAGACAGATGCATGAGTGTCATGCTGAAGCAGCACATCGATACCTTTTTAATAGCCGCGTTCTTTCCCCCTGGAGCACCTACAACAAGTAAGAAGTGAAAGATAGGGGTTATTTAATGCACTCACACACACACACACACACACACACACACACACACACACACACACACACACACACACACACACACACACAAGCAAACTGCGAGTAGAGGACTGCATGTAAATCTTCTGTTAATGTAAGAAGAAGCCATTGACTGCTGGTAGGAAACAATAATTCTCTGCTTTGTCTCTATTTCTCGGTCTCTTCATCTCTCAGAAGGCGTAACATGAATAATGCAAATTGTCCCCTCAGATAAAAGGGCTGCTCTCTTTAAATATCGCTGGTGTTAAATCTGCACTCAGCAGCTCTTTTAACTCCTACTCACACACAAATCTGTTGCAATATGTGCAAGTGGGGTGACACTCCACCTGTGCAAAGTATATTGCATGTGTGTGTGTGTGTGTGTGTGTGTGTGTGTGTGTGTGTGTGTGTGTGTGTGTGTGTGTGTGTGTGTGTGTATCTGTGTTAGTGTGTGTGTGTGTGTGTGTGTGTGTGTGTGTGTGTGTGTGTGTGTGTGTGTGTGTGTGTGTGTGTAGGAAGAAGATCAAACACAACTTTCCCCTTGTTTTTTTCTTCTATCCTTTCTCTATTCATTTAGTTCCACTGCACTCTTGTGTCCTCTTTAGTTCTTCTCTCACACATGTTGAAAACATTGTCAACTTATGTAGACTTGTTGATGGGAAACAAAGCATTGAAGCCGACAAGAAAACCTATATCCGTGATGGTTAGGTCCATTTTTACTGCCCATGACCAACAGCATTGCTCTTCCAAGAACTAGAGGTATTTCTTCTACACAGTAACTGCAACATCAAGAAACAGGTCAAATGATTTTAAGCAGCATTTGCCTATAATTTTATGAAACATACATATTGCAAAAAGGCTTGGGCAAGCAGGCTAGTGTTGACTCATTATGCAATAAATAAAGCAAGCACCTAGTGTTCATTAAAATGCAAACTTGAGACTGTTGAACACGGACAAACAAGCGGTCTCTCTATCCCCCCCTTTCTCTACTGTCACTGACACACACACACACACTCTAGATTAAAGAAATGGCCTGCCCCAACAGCATTGAGCCAGCAGAATGTGTGGGCTCAGCAGAACAGCTCTGACAGATCCCAGTGGTGGACAACACACTTCTGTAAAAGCCATATTCATCACTGACACGGCACACCAAGGTCCCATGCTGCACTAAACACTCTTCTACCTCCCCTTAACTCAGTGTGTGTGTGTGTGTGTGTGTGTGCGTGTGTGTGTGTGTGTGTGTGTGTGTGTGTGTGTGTGTGTGTGTGTGTGCGTGTGTGTGTGTGTGTGTGTGTGTGTGGGGGAGAGAGTAATAGAATGTGAAGCGGGTTTAAACAGCCCAATATAATCATACTGATGGAATGACAACCACAACACTTGCTGACCCACACAAAACAGACCACCCTGATTGGGGGACGCACCAGGAAATTAGACGTGACAGCCAGCAGCTCCAGCCAATCAGGTAAGAGAAGCAGCGAGATAGCCGCAGGGTCAGCAGAAATGAACAGAGAACATAAAACAGGAGTGTGTTTGAAAAGACAAAAGTTAGAATGAATTAATCTCATAACAGTGGCAGACTGAGATTTGATCCCTCTATCCATAAACAACCTCTGACAGAGCACACATGCCCCTGACAGTTCACCCCTATATAACACCAAACAAAGATCCTTTCACTGTATTCATTGGATAGTTAAAGCACTGGGCTCCAGTCCAACTGGATCTGTTTCCATTTAGGTACCGTATATACTCTTGTGTATGAACTCCCAGCATTGATCTCACTGCGGATTAGAAACTAATCAATTATGGAGTTATTCATATTCACAGGTAAATGTGGTGCCAATACATCTTTGGCTTTCTTATTCCAAAGTCCCTAATCATATTTATGATAACAATGTGGATAATATTTAAGTTCTTGTTCTGCTATAATAACAGATTGAGACAAATGGGACTGAACAAGAACTTGTATGCATCTGCATATATAAGGCTGTAGGCTTTGTACTTTTGGACTTTCCAAATCTGTCTATAGTTTAGGCCCAATTAAAAAAATAAACATTTCTTATAAGGTCACAGAAATATATTTTGTATTTCCTTCAACGGCAGGACATTACAGTTTTTAACATTACTCACACAGGAAAAAGGCAGCTTTTGTCGGGGACTATTTTCAGTTGTGGATTAATATGCATTTTGAGCATTAGTTGTGGTACTGAGAGTTTGCAGGACTGGCAAACATCAAACTACATAACTCATACTTATTTCAATGACGGAACAAGTCATTCTGTGCAATTGTGTGCCTCATTAGATGGTTTTACTGTAATATATTTAAGAAGTAATGTGCTGTTATTCTTTAGCTAGGCCAAAATATACTTTTTAGTAGGATCCATTTGTTAATATTATGGAAAATATTTAATATCACCACATTATCCTTTAAGCATGGCCCTCTGTTAATGCTGGGGGAACTTAACATACTATACATGGACGAATGACTTTGGCAAGTCAACACTCCACGAGCGTAAGAAAAACAGCCTCATTTCCAAGTAAAAAATACACTGGGACTTTTAAGTGTCTAACACAGCCGAGAAACTTATTAGGCACTGAGAGGATCCCATAAACTCTCAATGTAAAAAATCAATAACCAAAGCTGCACTTACGGTATGAGGTTTTCATATGACAGTATAGTGATATGTTGTATATGCTTGACCGCAAACCCTAAAAGTATTTTTATAACAGTTGGAAAAGGATAATACAGGCCCCGTTTCTTCTGCCAGGGTAGCTCTGACAGAGGCTGATGGTTAAATCAGATTCAGCTCGCAGGAGGTTAACTACTCATCTAGAGGAGAACTGAGAAGTGTTACAGTGACATACACCAGCAGTGTGTGTGTGTGTGTGTGTGTGTGTGTGTGTGTGTGTGTGTGTGTGTGTGTGTGTGTGTGTGTGTGTGTGTGTGTGTGTGTGTGTGTGTGTGTGTGTGTGTGTGTGTGTGTGTGTGTGTGTGTGTGTGTGTGTGTGCGCCCCAGGAGAGGAAACGCAGCACCTCTCCGGATGACAGAGTGTGTGTGATTAATTAAAAATATCAAGGTTATCCCCGTGGAATCATCTTTTATTTATTTTCAAATCAATATCAGCAACAGGGACAGCATGTAAGGACGACTGTTCACTTGTAAGTCGTTTTTTGTTATACACACATATCTAACACACACACACAAGTTGAGATTCTTCATACTCACAGGGGTATAACACAATGTCTTGCTACTTTCCACATAATGACAGCCGAAACACAATCTCTTCATTCACTTTGAAAGAGAAGTACACACTGACACACAGACACACAGACACACAGACACACATGCAGCTGCAGCTGCCACATGATATGGAGGTTGTAAAATAACCAATTTGCTCAATCAATAGCCTAGGTCATGGGACACCATCATCAATAATTAACGTGACTGCTGGGTGGTGTAGTGGTCACATGCACTCCCTCTTTTTTACTACGTGTTGACAACCCCACCTGACCTTGGTGAGACAGGATTTTGTTACGATGCTTCTTTGGAATGGGGCGGATTTTTGTGAATTTGAGACAACGCAGATAACTTAAATTGGTGGTTCTAAAGCAAAGATATATCACAGTTTTAGTTTTCAAAGATAAATGGAATGGTTTGTGATTGCAGTTAAACAAGTCAAGAATTACAGATCCATTCCATCATTATCTATTGATTTTAATTGATAAGCCTTTAGTAAAATGTACCGTAATCATCAGAAAAATGTGATCAAGTTTCTCACATGACTTTTGTCCCTCTGACCTTGACCTCCCTGGTTACTGGTACATTGATTATTTCCACATCTTCTCTTGACCTCTTTTTTCCCCCCCGTCAGAATCTTCAATTTTCATCTTCATTTCTCTCCCGTTCTCTCTCACGCACACTCAGAGGTTTAGTCTAGCTGCAGCTGGAGCAAAACACAGACCCAACAATTGATTTCCTGTTTCCATACTACCTCCGCCTCTTTTCTTTTTCAATCCGACAAGATCCCAATGACTTTCCCTCCCTCTCTCCTCCCCTTCCATCTTCTTCCGTCTCAACCTCCCTTTCCTCCTGCCCACCCTTCTCCGGTTCTTTTCTGTGGCTTTCCCTGCTCTTTCTTTTGCTCTTTTGCTTTTTAACCTAATTGGAATAGCTCTCTTTGAAATGGAAAAGTTATTTACTTTGACAGCTTAGGCATTTGGCTGGAGGTCTTATCCGGAGCCACTTGTACTGTTACTGGAAACATGGCAACAGTAAACATCTCGCCCCCTGCCATGCTAACCCGCTTTGGGCCAACAAACAACCAGCCACAGAAATCTGGAAAAGGTCAACGTCTTTTATGGAACCACGGCAAATTTTGGTGGGAAATGTTCGTTTCCGTATAATTGAGTAATTGTTAAAAACTGTGTATCATAGTATGACACATGCATAATATTAGCTAATGAGAAAATACATACAAATATAATCATAACTACATCTTTACTAATGCAGTTATGATGATCTTATCACCATGAATTCAAACATCAGGAGAGTTAAGGTGTGTTAAATGCTGGATCAAAGACTTATGGCATGTTTACAATTCTAAAGGAACTTCATTTTACCAAAGGATTATGAGAGATCAGCAGGTATAACACATTTTAATCTGTACTGATATATTAAAACCTGGAAGACTTAAGCCGGAGAACGTCTTCATAACAAACGCACAGGTCTATCACATTAATGTAATAATGGCTCCAGTTCTCTCCAACAGACAAAGGGACACAGACATCACTTAAGCCAAATTACAATCAATTTGCTAAAGCTAATATGTCCGTAACCTAATGCAATTAACTCATTATTTGTAAGA